TGCGCTTTACAAAGTGGAGAGATCTCCAGGCTTTCCCTACAACAAAAACTACGTGACTTTTCCAGCGTAATTTACTATCGAAATGGATTCCTAAGCACTTGCATGAGGAAACTATCGGAATAATGTCTTTATTTAAACGGTAATTCGTTTCTCTGTAATTATGCGCCCTGCCCAAAGTGATGGATTTGCTTTTGGAGCTATTTATGGTCATTCCATTATTTTCCGCCCAGCAATGTAACGCATCAAGATCCTGTTTGCAACATTTCTTCGTCTTCTTTCGAATTCACACTACGATATATTATGCAATCGTCGGCCGAACATTTGCTTTTAATTGCGGTCATTGCATTCATTGACGAACGCTAGACAGAAGAGGTACAATGACACGCCCCCACCTGAAATCTAAGCTGAATTCATTAGTTTGTGTACGAGCCATCAAACACTTTGGCAAAGTCTGCTCCCGCCCGCGTCAATTTCATCTGCTAGATCCTGAAGCCGTGTTGGCCATTATAGAGCCATTTTTTGATTTCCCATTCTTGCTTAATGTAACTGGCAACTAGATACTCCATAAGTTTGCAGACCACTGACGTAAGACTTACCGGTCTATAATTACTTAATATAGTTTTGTCGCCACTTTTAAAAATATGTACGACAAAAGCTAATTTCCGGTCTTCAGGTACTTTAGAATTGTTCATGGAAACGTGAAATATTCTAATTAGGTACGGTAATATTGCATCTCCTCATTGTTTAATTATGTCCGTAGAAATGTCATCTGGACCCCTTGACTTACCATTTTTCATATATTTTACTTTATTCCGTAGAACGTTCACTTCACTATTAAACTGATTTGTAACCGAAGACCCCTGAATTAATGAATGGTTTGTATTGCTTTTGAAAACCGAGCCCCGCTCAGGACTACCTGAAGGAATCCCCTGACCCAAACTAGGCCGTTTGAACTCGAGTGTTTGCACTCCTCCCAATTTGCGCTCCAATAACGATGGGATGGCGATGCTCGTTTCCTGTTTTCTGAGTGATGCCATCTAAAATACCGAAACCGTCGCTCGGAGGCCTATAGCATGCAAAGATTTCTAATATGGTTCCTAAGTAATAATTTCTATTCCCATCATTTCAAACTCTGTACTGACCCAATCCATGCCTGCTAATATCCAGGCGTGCTTTGGCGCAAATAAAAACTCCGCCCCCTCTACCATTTCTATTCGTCTCGAAGATCTTGCAATGAGAATGAAAAATTTCAGAGGACCCGATTTCCTCAGTTAGCCATGACTCAGTCCCTATCACTATGTCGGGATCACAGCCATCAACTAGATTCCAAAACTCTATTTCTTGATTTATTATGCTCCGGCAGTTTACCTGCAAAGCCCTTTCCTCTCCTGAATGTAGTCTCGAGAAGGCTCGCCCCTCGTCTCCGCCGCCGCGCTGTCGCCCTCGTGCTCAGCAGTAGTCTCAACGTCGTCTTCATCCCGCCCTTACGAAATTCTGCGCGAATTTTCGGCTCGGAGAAACTCTTATTACAGGGCCCTCGTAACGAAAAAGTGGATAAGTATAATTTCTTAATTTAGGCAAAACGACTGCCCGTGAACAACGGGAGCGGCTAAACTGTTCTGGCAATTTTCCCCTATCGATTTGGCCGATGACGCGGCACCTTGAATTCAAAACAAATATTTTAATTTTGGAGAGTACTTTATATGAAGGCCCTGGGACATTTTCAAAAAAGTTGCGTCATCAATTTTGATTTAATTTCCTTGGATAGTCTGAAGGACGTTTAAGAGAATGGCGCAACTCTGTTGGCTGAAAACTCTGATTTTTCGAATATTGAAAGTGTTTTCTGGCGTCTTCCTACAACTAAAATATTAAAGATAGAGATATTTTCCCTAAATAAAATGTTTCCCTTATATATGGATATTGAAATAAGGTAATGAACGATTTTTTTTAATTGAGTATTTTCGCGTTATTTTGCGTGAAATAGGCAATTTTTGATAAAACTTTTATTTTTTTACTCTTAAACGGCTCCATCGTTTTTGATGAAAGTTTGTTGGTAGATAGCCTGAAGGACGTTTCAAAGAATGGTGTAGGTCTCATATTGGTTGAAAAACCTGATTTTTTGGCGTCTTCCTACAACTACAATTATGAAAATATAATATTTTGCCTTAGTGAAGTGTTAGTTATCGTTTTGAAGACATCTTCAGTAAATTCCAGCACAATTTAGTTTGGAGTGGTAGAAAAAGTGCTAAAATTGTTAGAACTAAGAGTTTTTATATTGTATGTATCATAAAGAAGCTCTATCAAAATCCTCATCTTAAAAATGAACCGGCTATATGTACTTGCTATATGAGTTGTCTTTTCGCTCAACGAATCCACAGGGCCTTCGTCTTTGGTCTGAAGAGAAAAATCACGAAAATTAACAGTTCTCTAAGCCATATTAAGCAACTACCAGCATAAGAAAAGTAATATACGCCGTTCCCGAACGTTTTGTACAGTAATAAGCCATTCGAGTAGCAGTGATGAAGTGTTACGAAAGCATGTTTATATGATCAAGATTTTTAAATATTAAAAACTATGACCAGTGACTAGACCTCGTATTTTAGGACTAATGCCTATTTAGTTCCTTTTGGTGGTTGTCGAAAATAATTGCAGATGTTTACAAATCAGTAAAAAATAACCTACTGAACGCTTCTAATTGTGCTCAAAATGTCCTGACTTGGCGGTTTATGCCTATTTTAATTTTTTTTAGTCCAAAAGTATTTTTGTTTAACTATTGTGTTTTAATTACTATATAAATTTACCGGAACGCAAATACTTTCCCGAATTCTCGAGACGTGAATATTCCTTGATCGAATTCGCTACCTACTCCGACTGCGTTTGTCCTTGTTGGGCATGCGTAGAGCATTAGTGGCCTTAGTATTGCTTTAATAATTGTTGTAGAGTTTGTGTATAGCAGGGATTTGTGTTTGTTGAGTATTGGCCGGAGTGGGAATAATTTATTTCTTGCTTGTTTAATTTTGATATCTATAAGGGTTTTCCAAGTTAGTTTTGTGTGCAGGTGAAGTATTTTGTGGGTTGTGATTGTGGGGCCCAGGTGATGTGAGAGCTTAGCGATATGTTCTGTAAAATTTATTCAACTGTATTATCAAGATTAGATTACATCTTTTACTTAATAATAGTCGAATGTGGCGTCGTGGACGGTGTAAACTGTTTTAAAAGTATTTTCATGCGTTAGAAGTTTGTGTCATACTTAATTTCTTTCATGCTTTGCTTTGTTCAAATATGCTCGTACAGTAGCTGGCGTTGGACTTACCAATGGATCTTAGTAGCTGTTAATGTATACTTCCATTCACAAATTACCAACACCCAATTGCCTCCATACGGGATATGAACGGGTAATATTGCAATTTCAATATTATAATAGCTGTAAAAAATGCATGGAGGTATTAGTGATGCGAATTGTTAGAATTTAGTACAGCTATACTTTTTACTACTTGTTTGCTAATATGAACATAAATGATCACCTGTAAACTGTTCTGCATTATTCTCTTATGCTAATGTAAGATCGTAAGAATTAGTTCGGGAAATGTCACAAAATCGTCTACAATTACAGTTGATTCCCTTGAATTGCTTCACAATATCGAATTTTTGGCCCCTAATTCTTTAAGGTTTTAAAACATATGTATAAGCATAAAAGTAAGCAATTACTCTTTGCTCTGAGTTTCGGAGATCTTCTCAGTTTCGTATGAATAAAGTGGGTGGTTGCTCCATCTTTGAGCGTACTCTCAACTGGCGAGCAAATGCTCAGAATTGGTATGAATAAAGTTAAGTTTTTTCTCTAGAGTGAGCACTTGCTCCAAAATTAGGGACAATTTTAATATTCATTCAATTTGCAAATTCGTATTATTTTCATTCAAAATTGCTTTGACAATTGGTGTTGTCATCCTCATGAGAGAAAATTAAGACTGAAAATAACCACGGAGTACTGGTGTTTAATCAACGCCACCTACGAAGATCTGTTTAGGTGGAATTCGTTTAATTCTCCGTCCACTTATAAAGATCGCAGCGCCAAAAAACGCAAAAGCAGGTTTTTGGAAATGTCTGAGACATGCCACGCCACGCTTCAATCGGTGGACGGAATCGTCTGCCGAGCTGCACATCCGCGCACGCGCACCCGAAGTTCCTCCGCTTCCTCTGCACGTGAACCGAGCCTGCGTCTGTGTTTCATTTTCCATGCGATGCGTTAAATTGAGGCCATTGACTGATTTCCAAGGGACCTAAGATTTTAGAACGTTTTAACTCATTCTTTCTATTAAGTCAAAATAAAATCGCAAATTGTCTAATTGACTAGAAAATGGTCTTGTGGATGAGAATGTAACTTATGCTCGAGCTAACACTATTTTCTTGATGTTTAAAATCATCTTCAATGCATTACTGTTTCTTTTTCACCCTCCCTCCGCTGTAAGTCGTCCTCTGACGCATTAAGCCCTTCGGAAAGTTCTGCACGTTGAATTAGCGTCCGAGGTCTTTCAAATGGCGCCAACTAAGAATAATTGCTGTGTGTGTTGCAAGATTTTCACATTCTCTGAAAGTATACGCGAAAGTAACGGTGTTTGTCCTTCACGGAATATTAAACCGACAGACAGCGTTGAGAAAAATATCCACTCCGTTACGCAATATTTTTGTTCTTCGATAACGAGGCGTCACACGGATGACAATATTAATGTAATATTTACGATTGACGAAGCTTGTACATTCTCAATTTGAGTAGCTTTGTTTCGCATAATGTTTTGTAAAATCTTTGGGGGGGGGGGCAATTCCACTTGTAGAAACATAATAAAATATAAAGTAAAATACTGATGTTTGTAACAACTTGAAAACAATTATTATCGTCGTAGCCCCACAACTGTGTGTGTTCTATGTGTCCGGAGGATTCTTTGTATTTTGAATGTGGTGATCAGAGCATGAAAAAGTGAATGATGCGTTCAATCCACGCGCAGGAGCTGAAACCGCCCATCAGAGTGTTTCTGTGTCCGGAGGAGGCGCCCGGCGGAGGGGCGACGGCGGCCCAGGAAGACGAGGTAAGAACAACGCCCTCTCTTCTGCGGGTTGGCACTAAGTGGCATGCGCGTTCTGAAAGTCGTTTGAGAAAGGGCTTACGACACTAGAAGATGGGTTCACTAAAGTAGCTGGCAGAAACCATTTAGCATCCAAAATCGTGTCATATATGCGTTTCACTAATTGTTTCTTTTCCTCCGTCAGGACCCTTTGGCAGTCGGCGCTGAACCGCTTCGTGGTGAACGTGAGCAGTGTGCTGGTGAGCAGTCTTCAGTGCCGTTGGCGGGGGCGGGCAGGCAGGCGGGCGAATATTGTGGAAAGGATTTCGAAATCACAAGACACACACACAAGCCTGTTCAATCATCCATAAATGTAAATCAGCGTTCTTGTTCGAGGTCCTCCCGTGAAGAAGAAGTTCATATAAATGATCACTGTCAGATTTGAGTAGCTCGTGTGCCAGAAAACAGAATTTTCCACATAACAACAATTCCAAATATCCACTTACATGTGTAATCGGTATCCGTGTTTTGTGGATCCTAACCATTAAACATTGTTCACGGATAGCGTAAATTATCTTTAAAAGAATGACACAGATCCTATTTTCGCCAAAATACCTTACTTTTTGAAATTTCACTTTTTTGGCATCTTCCTACAACTACATTAATAAAGGTAGAACTTTTTTAAATTTAATAAAATCTGTTCATCAAAACACCTTCAAAGAAATATTGTTTAATTTTTCGAAAATTTGAGTAGTTATATAATTTTGCGTAAAACGTAGTCAATGGGGAAACAATTTTTAACATTTTCTCAGAAACCGTTCCGAATATTTTAATTATTTTTTTCCTATAGCAAAGAACAGCAAAGAATTCCCTTTTCCAGCAAACTATTTTCGAAAATTTCAAACAAAAACTTAATTTTTCAGAACTATAGTCATACTTCTTTTGTTAAGTGAAGGCTAATCTAAAAAAAGGTCATATACTTTTAAAAAAACTATTACTAGTTCAGATTTTTTCGAATGCGCAAATTCGAATTTCCGGTGCTCCGTTTTCTAGTGTTTGTAGCTTATTGAATTTGATTTATGTGATTTTTGTAATCTCATAAACTCATTATAAACTGTATGTGATAAATGGAGAGAAGCAGACAAACTGCCAAAAATTGTGGACCTCCAGAATGTCTTTACAAACTTATAACCACAGATAGTAGAATGGCAAGCAGTTTTTCCATACTCAAGTCACTTTTTGTCTGTCAATTTTCTTAACAGTGTTACGTACGAAATTGCATGAAAACTGCGATTTCCACAATTCAAATGTCACCAAAATTATCGATGGTGATTGGGCGACACGCTTGGGGCCTCGGGCAGTGCTCTTCGAACCTGTTAATTTTGCCGTCAGTCGCCGTCGCGTCGTGCCCGATAGATATCGCTGAGAAGTAACAACAGAATTGTCATTATACACAGGTCAGGACATCAATGTTTCCTATGGTATCGCTAGTTTGAAATTGAAAAGGGCTGATCCATACCGACAATAATGGTCTCCTGGATGGTAGTTAAAACTTCTCAACCCGAACAATTAAAGATTCTGCTGTCCAGCTTCCTTTCGTTCGATGAAAATTGTGATGGACATAATGCCTATTTTCTCAGCAACTTCTGTTGTGTATGAAACTCTCACAGCAGTTGCCCAAAATCATCACTCAAGGTTACATCACGTACACCTCACACAATTTCTTTCATTTTTAATGTGAACAAAATAATGCACGCACGTTTTGTTTCAGGAATAATTTCAGTAAATGTACTTCATAATCCGGGATAAATACACTAAATTTTCTGACCTTGAAATTAAAAAAAGCATATAACTTTATCCAATTTCTTTCTTGAATTCTCAGTTAAACGGATTTTGAAGAAGCTGCTATGAAATACTATGTGTTCTTGTAACACTCTGCAATTGAAATATTTACGTAGATGAACTAAGTTCCAAGACTGCACACGACCTCCATAACACATGCGTGTTACTTTAGCCAGCGGCCTGAGTGCTTATTGGCTGAATGGCCAGAAGCCATTCGTGATATTGCCATATCTCAGACATTACCCTTCAATGTACATCTACGTTCACATATGCACACCTTATTACAGAGGCAGACAAACAATTGCGAAATAAATTGACAAATAAGTGAAATTTATCTCCATGTAATGCTTTTGGCTAACCACTGTGGTCCGAGGGTGAAATTTGTTTTTCTGCATATTTTAATGTAATTGGTTGGCTTAATACCCTTAATCATTTAATATAACTTATTGTTTTCTGCGGGAAAATTACCTAGACAACATATTGAATGTGTGATGAGTCCTTTTCCAATAAATCTTTTATTCCTCCCTGTTATTTATTGGTTATACTAATTATATAACACGCGTTTACTATAACGTAATTAAAGACATTTGCAGATCACTACACCACTGGATCCAGTTTTCATCTCTTAGAACATTCAGAATCTTAAACACAACACTTCTACGTAATGTCCCTTGTCAAGATATAAATAATTTTTAGTGTACAGTAATTGCGCCACTGCCTGGTCCCAAATAGTGGCTGTAGATATTTATCATTTACCATGATATCAGGTTGGAGAGCAGACTTTCTAAAATGACCTGTTTCATGCTAACAAAGTATTTCCTTCCATAGGTGGAGAATACGAAACTGTGCGTGACATCTTGGGCTCAAGGACACATATTCGTAATGGAGGCTGCAGCACGCCCCCACGCATCGATGGAAACTACATAGCTCTTGGGAAAACAAAAGTGGAAGGAAGCGAGAGTCCTGTGCGCAAGGATCAGTCAGCAGAGAATGAGTCACAGTTTCCGAAGCTGAATACCGCAAAGCGCGTACATGAACAATCAGTCTGTGAACCGAGAACTTTAGAAGGCGGATGTGAAGTTGGGATGGAGCAGAAAAAGGAAGGTGGTAATGATATAACACGTTTCAAGAGAAGGCACATGCGATTTCAAAGCGCTAATCGCTCTCATCAGTGTCCTCTCTGCCAAAGGAGCTTTACACGTAGAAGTAATTTAGTTACACACATGCGGACCCACAGCAGTGAACGCCCCCATAAATGTTCCGTCTGCGAAAAAAGTTTCACAGAGAGCAGTCGTTTAGTGAGTCACATGCGCATGCACAGCGGTGATCGGCCTCATAAATGTACCGTCTGTGAAAAGAGGTTCTCAGAGAGCAGTGGTTTAGTTAGGCACATGCGGGTCCACAGCGGTGAACGCCCTTATAAATGTTCCGTGTGCCAAAAGAGTTTCACAGTGAAGAGTAATTTAGCCACTCACATGCGGATCCACAGTGGTGATAGGCCTCATAAATGTTTCGTGTGCGAAAAGAGTTTCAAATTGGGTAGTAGTTTAGTTAAGCACATGCGTATCCACAGAGGTGAGCGCCCCTATAAATGTTCCGTCTGCCAAAAGAGTTTCACAGAGAAGAGTAATTTAGTTGATCACACGCGGGTTCACAGTGGTGAGCGCCCTCATAAATGTTCTGTCTGCCAAATGAGTTTTAAAGTGAGCAATCATTTAGTTAGGCACATGCGTATCCACAGCGGCGAACGCCCGCATAAGTGTCCCGTCTGTCAAAAGAGCTTCACCCAAAGCAGTAATTTAGCTAGTCACGTTCGGATCCACAGCGGTGAGCGCCCTCATAAATGTTCCGTCTGCCAAAAGTGTTTCAAAAACAACAGTCATTTAGTTAGGCACTTGCGGAACCACCGCGGTGAGCGCCCATTTAAATGTTCCGTGTGCCAAAAGAGTTTCACAGTGAAGAGTAATTTGGCTAAGCACGTGGGGATCCACAGCAGTGACGGCCCTCACTGATGTAGTGTGCCAAACTTTCATGTGTCATGAGTTGACTTTCGATACATGTGAATGCACGTAAACAAATGCCCAATTCGCCAAAAGAGCTTCGCAGAAGAAGAATAACAGACGCACTCTCAGCTTTGAACGTTCGTTCGCCCAGGAAACTTGAAGACGTAGTAGTGTTGCTGCACGCATAATGAAATGAGCAGTGGAAATGCGCAGTTGTTGTTTAATTCGGCGCGTGCGCATCCACTGCGTGTTCTGCCAAAGAAGCTATGTAAATAATTACAGGTGATTTTACCGATTTTAGTGCACTCACGAATGGCAATTGTGCCAAAACATCTTAAAAAAAGCGGCTACGAAAGTGTCTTCATTCTAATGTGCTGCAGCACGTATTTAGCCTTTTCTTGAATGTGTTTTTATTGTAAAACATTCATCAACAAAATATGTACGGTTCGGAAATCATTCAAATAATTTTATTTTTGATTTCAGCATGATATAAAACTACGGAAAAAAATTGGATTTATTTGAAAAGTTAATTCTTGTCGAAACAATTTTTTATCGATTTATATAAAGTATCCTCTAATATTTTTATCACTTTCTATTGATTTGTCAAACAGAAATATTGCATAACTAAACATTTCAAGGTCGTAGAGGGCATAAATGAGAAAAAGACGATTGTGAAAATGTCATCGCCTTTTTTTGATTATCCAAAACCCCAAATCCTTTTTGATACTTGTACTTGATAGCTACAAAACGCCACCTTTGGTTATTGAGTGGAAGAACTACGAGCATTTTTATTACAAAATTTGTTATGAAGGGTATCTTTGATGGTCCGTGTGTGGTCTTTGAAGAGAATTTCTTAGAGAACGCCGGCAGCGTGTGCTGTGGGAATCGCCAGCCCTTGTTTTTTGTATACCTAGCAAGCATGTAAGTTGTCGGTTCAGTACAGTATTGTAGTATGTTATCTCCATTTATAAATACAACTTTACGGCGATAGCGATATAATTACTGTAATAATCATAATTACTTTCGAAAAATAAATTTACGAACGCGTGTGTGTTGTTGTTACAATTGTTCATACGATTGTTCAGCTTTTGTTTTTATTCACTAGTAAAGAGTTGTAGTGTATAGGAAATGAAATACATGACGCGTATTTATGATATTGCACGTTGTTGTGATTACATGCGCAATATCATGTAATTTATTGAAGTGTATGATGTGTTAAATGAATGAAAGTAGTATTTGCGTGTTTGAACGACCCGCCACAGGCCGCCGTCGCTCTGGGGCTCTGGCAGTCGTGCGGGCTGTCGCACTGTTAGGCCCCACGAACAGGGGATGAAGTAGAATCCCTTTTCATGGATTCGACCTCCCAAGGAAGAGAACGTCCATCGGACAGCCGTTGGCCCAGCACTGGAGACATTCTTTTCGAAGAAAATAGCAGCTGACATTCAACCGGTGTAGGAAGGGGCACAGCGCTCATCCTCACGAGAGATCTCGCGAAGCTCTCGTGTGCCGAGGCCCTGCGCTGCGTCAGAGTCGTGTGTGTGTGTGGTTTGCGCCAAAGACGTAAATTAATTACAGGAGTTGGTTGGCAACTAAACTTCGCCAGTCTGCGCAAACCACGTGTACACACAAAGCATAAATAGTATAAGATGGAGGACTCTAGGCCTTCTAAGCGTGAAGTCACGTTGATGGCCACCATCACCAAGGGTTGTAATCTGGGTGGCATTGAAGTATCGATAAGTGCTGAACCGGCAAAAATTTAATAGAATTTCCGAGAATATTTCATCGTGTAGATTGCAGTGTGAGGAACGTTTCTTTGAGACCTTTGGCCCCAAAAGTTGTGGTACAACTTTCTAATACGCGTCGCAGATTAACACTATTTTATGCGAAACGGCACACGAGCGCTCTTGGCGACGTGCGTTGTTCCTCCAGCTGAAGCAAGGCCACGTAAGTGATTACGCGTTGTGCCGTTTCGCAAAACATACAGTGTTAATCTACGACGCCATCCGCTCGTGGTCAGAGGTCCATTGCGAATGCCCCGTGTGCCCGTCTACTGCCATGGCCATAGGTGTGGTGCGTGTTATTTCCCGCCGTTGGCGATGACGCTCCCCACCAGGTGTCTCCCTGGAGCGCCCCGTCCACAAGCTCTATTCTAGGGAGTGTAGTGCAAGGAAGAGCACTTCTGTGCAGACGAGCAAACGTCGGTGCATCGGACCAGCTCACCCGGGAGGGCAAGAAAACATCGGTATCTTTACATCGTTGTTTTGTTTTCGATGTTTTAAACAAAACATTTTCTGATACTGTTGCCGATACCCAAACAGCAAGAAACTGTTTACTATTAGCAACCTTTTCCTAGAGTTCCAGGTCAGAGAACTTGTTTTGGAGGTAGATTTGCTTTTAGAAGTAAATATGATTTGGTTGAATGAAATATTGATGATCAGGGCGAATGTCTTTATGATTTTTTGGGAGGTTTGCGTATGAAGTCTCATGTTAATATAATTTTAACAAATCATTTGTTTTTCTTGCGAAAACGATTGTCAAAACTGAATGAACCCTTTTAATATCCTCTGTAGATACCTTAAGCTAGGGAGAGATAAAGAAAAAATGAACTGTGTAAAATAAAACTGTATTAGATATCAATTACATCTGACTTATTGAAAAGAGAATCATTTGGAAACCCAATATTACGAGTATATTTTCTTCACATATAAAATTATGGGGTGCCAAATGTTCACCATATGAGTGAAGATTAACTTAAATGGCTTAAGTACTAAGAAAATGAAATTATAGAACATGTAAATACTATATTAATAAAATAAAATGTTGGTTTTTAGTTAGGATTAGTGCAAAGTCTTTGCGGACTGAAATCCACACGAAATCTTGTAAAATTATTTCACAAATATGCAACAGTCACAGTGTCGTGATTAATGTGAAAATTTTTAAGACTGATGAACTGACTGAGAGGAGATTGAGTCTGTTTGTAGCGAGCATTTTTTAAGCATTTTTCAGTGAAAGTATACGTATGTTAAAGAATTATTTGAGATGAACAAAAATTTGATTAAAAATATTTTCCAACGCTTTATTGTTTAATGGTTTTTAATAGTTGTTTCCACATTATCTTTTCTGACGTTTTTGTCCGGAGCAATATCGTAAAACAGCATTTTGGACCTTGGATATGTAGAATATTGATTAGAAAAGTAAGATGACAGTCCAATTTAAGTCAGAGTACTATTAACACTAATATTTACTTATTAGATACAGGGCGTTTTACTTCGATGATTTATGAATGAAAGTGAACAAATAGGGAAATAAGAAAACGCGGTTTTATTTGATAAACTTTATTATTACCGTATTACTCATACGTGATAAAAAGAAAGTATTATGTATTCACGTTCTGTAATTAAAACTGAAAGAGGCTGGGAAAGCACCTGTTTTAGAGTATTTAAACCGTGGAGTTCAAATCGCAATCAGTTTGTCGATGTATCGTTGTCCGTGGCTGGGGCGGGGGCGTCGTCGTTATCTGGGCGCGATAAGCGCGGCGCTGGCGCGGGCGGAGGCAGTGGCAGTGGCAGAGCGCGATGCGCGTGCCCCGCCTGCAGAGCTGTTGCTGCGGCTGCGCGCTCCGCCAGGGCGCCGCCCTCGTCGGGCTGCTGTTCGCCGTGAGTCATGCGCCCCCGCAAATCATTCATCTCAGCATTTCCATCTCGCACAAGTAATAGGAAGCGATGACATTGTGTTTCCTTTCAAACCATGCGTAGTCTCCGTTGTATGCGAAAGTACTGTGGGAATCCTAGTTTCAGCGTAGCCTCTTGGATGTCGTTGCAGAAAAGAAGTGTGTTAAGTCTTGTTCGCAATATCTGCACCAAGAGTACGTCGTTCCTGGTGACAACATCTTCCTTTCCCGAAAATAGACCCGAAATTCAAAGGCAAATTCCTTTGCGAGTCCAAGATCTCGAACAAAATAATTTAAAGCCATTCTTTTGTTTGTTATTCTTAAAATTAGATTCTAGTATACAATGAATATCAAATTATTTTCATTCTGGAGTTTTTGCTGGAACTTGTAAGGGGTTGATAAGCCGTTCATATTCCATTGAAGAATTTTAATCTTCATTCTTGATAGTCTTTACTTGATAAGTAGTCGTTATCCGAAGAAGCTCTTGATTAATCAGATGATACCGGATCCTTCAGTTCCCCCATAATTCTCGAAAAGCGTGACTTCATACCCCTGACCTATAACAATGAATACATTATTTCAAGTACGTCGATGATCTTTTTGGTTTCATGAGTGTAATTAAATGTAATTAGTAACGCATTTTTCATTCGTTCATTAGTATCTTCCAAAAAAATTCAAATGTTCCTAATTAAGTACTTTAGTAGTCACTTCTTATATTTCTTTAACTGGAACTATTTTCTCAATAATGTCCTTCTGTCAATGGTATTTACACGATTGTTTTGTTTCCCAACTTCTTTGCTTGGCTGGTTTAGTAACCTTTTCATGTCTTACTTTTTGACTGTTCTGGTGCGATTCCGTTGTGGGGCCTACTTCTAATGTGTGATGATATTTTCGAGGGTATTCCATTGTCAAGTGAAGGGAAGTCGTCCGCTTGAAAAGATGCATCTTTTCGATTATCGACAACATTCATATTTTCCTCTTCTGGTACGGCTCTATTAGTGCTAGTATTGTTGTCCACGTTCATATTTGTCCCATCTCTTACGACTTCATTAGTGTTGAAATTGTTGACAACAGCTATATCTTCATGACTTGTCAACATTCATATTTATCACTTGTTACTAGATTAGTGCTGGCATTGTTGTCTACATGTTTACAGTTTTTTTGTTGTTTTCAATATGACATTGACTGACTGACTACCTGCCGGCCTGCCTGCCTGCGCGTCTGTGTGGTCAACTGTTCAGAGGATTTTCTTAAAAATTGATACTCCTCGAGGAATTGAATGTCCTGCCAGTTTGAAACGTATATTTTGATTTTTTTGGGGGGGAGGGACAACGTGATACCTCAACATATTCAAAATGCTCCCATTTCCGTCGAACTCTGTATTTTCGAAAATTTAAAAAAGTACATTATTAATGATAGAGATTTGTTCTAAAAGAATGAAATCTGTTCTACAAAATCTTTTTAATAAAGGTCGTGAACATTTGTTTTAATTACGATATTTTTTGCCATATTTTGCGTTTGAATTTCCCAATTGGAATTTCTCGCGCTTCTGTTTCTAAATTCTTTCTAGACTTATCACATTGGAATTCAATAATGAGAACGCCGCGACATAGCACCAGTAGGCCGGGACGCTGCTGGTAGGCCTTAGCTTGTAGAGCTGATAGTGAGGGGCGAGAGGACCAGACGCATATACAGACATACACAAATACACCCACGCCCGAGGCGGGACTCGAACCCTGGCTCTTCTGGTCCCAGACCGCTACGGCACTACTGCCTCAACGATCTCGGCCATTCGATCGGCTGTTGCTATTATTATTATTATACTATTGGACATTTCTGACTACGTTACACGATTAACGTTTGTAACTGGGGATTAGCTTTTCAGCTGTATCCCTTGTTAAGACAAGCTTGTTACGCCCGGAAGTGTGTGTATTATGAGGTGATAGGATGATTGCATTGCATTGCATTGCGATTGTTATTTGTGAATGCCTGCAAGAATGATTTTGGCGCTTCATTGAGAGGTTTTTAGATGAGGTGGTTTCTAGAGTTCTTGTTGGACACCTTTCCCCATACGAAGACGGGCATTAGGTTACCGGATGGAATTGGGTATTGCATAGGTTATTTTGGGTTCTTTTTTTAGAGTGTTGGTGGAGCAGGGGGGATGTGGTTTCTTTCCATTGGGCGGGCTATTTTATTATGGTTGTTGTTTCAGGAGCGGGGATGGATTTGTTTTACTGAGAGCTATTGCTGACAGGTTATTTTATTCTGATTTCTTGGATTGCGTGGTTTGTTTTGTTGAGCATACCTGAACTGATTTAGTCCGTGTGTATGGTGTCTAGTGGGCAGTTAGTCTTATACTTCTGGCTTACGTGGGTTGATTGGGGTGCTTCTGGCGTAAGTGGGTGTGAGTTGGGGATTTCGATGGGGTGTTTTTTTAATTCTACTTCCCGGCTAAGTTTGAAGGATGTGGAGGTGGTGTATGGGAAGATAGTTATGGGTTCTATCTGAAAGGAGGTTTTTAATTTGGTTTTGGGAGGAATTGTGAAGGCAGGTAAGGATGTGTGTAATTTGATGCTGGGACCGGATGTCGTTAGATCTTGTCGGAGGGCGGCGGTGAAGGGCGGAATATGAGACGAAGGATTCTGTTTTTAAGGCGGTGATTCTATGGTGATTGGTCGTAGATAAGGGTGGGGCAGATATAAGTATTAGAGAAGGTGAGTTTTTTCGTGATGGGAAGGGACGGGTGCGTAAGAATGGGTTGTGGGATATTGACGATGCGGTGGGATTTTGTTGTGGCTTGCATTATGTGGCAGGTCCATAGCGGCCTGAACGAAAAACGAGATTGGGGGGGGGGTTGGCTTGGCATTCTCCCGGGCTGATTGTGATAGCGTGTTCGCAGGCCCGGAGTGGAGGGCGTCGGATGAGGCTAAAGCAGTCGGCGAGTAGGAACACCTTGACGCCGTATGTGGAAGGGATGTCGTCCACGCACAATAAAAAAAGGATGGGGCGCCGGCGCAGATGGGATGTGGATTGGGAGCAGATTTTGGCAGGTGGCGGACATAGCAAACTCTGTGATGGAGGTAGCTTTGCAGGAGGGTGTGCAGATGGGTTGGGATGTGTGGGTGGAGTTTCATTAAGAGGATGTTTTGGCGAGGTGGAGGGCCGCGGAAACCAATCTGGACCGGACCGACAAGGGGCTCACGGTGGGGGGGGTGATTGTGAGGAGATTGATCTTTTCAAGGACGTTGCCAAGGAGGAGAAGGCTGATGGGGCGGCACTTGGAAGGAAGGCGATGATCGGTGTTCGGTTTCGGTAGCATGCTAACGCGGGCGGTTTTCCAAATTGTTGGGAAATAGGATAAGAAAAAACAGGTTTTGTTTAATTTCGAGGTTTGTTGTAGTGTAGGGTTGGTTGTCGGGGATAGGAAGGTTTTTGGAAATGGAGTGCACCGCCAGGGATTGGGCAAATGGGTCAGCGATAGTTTGGTGAAAAATTATGTTGTTTTGGGTTAGGAGGGGTGAAATGTTTGTGGGGGCTGCTCTAACCGTTCCCATAATTCTATGAGCCGTTGTCTATTAGGTTGTCAAACGTTTGCCGTTCGTATTGCATCAGTTGTCTTTGTTGTGTATTTGTCTTTGTAGTCGTCTGTCATCGTCTCGTCTGTTTGTATAATTGTCGTTGTACCTGCCTTTTTTGCCGAATTACCACGAGGATGTCGTTTGAGAGAGTAGGGTTTTTGGTTCTGTTTTTCTGAAAGCGTTTTTGATATGTTTTGTCAGGTGAGTTATTGATTTTTTCTTTCAGGAGTGGAGGATGTGGTAGGAGGGGGTGAATCTTTTGGAGAGAATGCGAGAAAAGGGTTTCCAATCTGTGGGAGGAGGTTGGGGAGTATGGAAAGGGGTGGCGGCTGTGTTAGTGATTACTACGGGTAGGTGGTCGGAGCAATTGAAGAGATCGAATTTTGGAATAGGTGTAGAAGTGGTTACGTTGACTGAATGGGGGGTTATGTCTAGGATATCATTTGGTCGGTCTTGGATGAAGTGAGTGGGTTCAGAGTGGCTTTTGATTTGGATGGGTGGGTGGATATTTAAGACGTTTCCGAGTCTTCGTCCAGGGACATTGTAAGTCCGGCAGCCCCAATCAGGGGATTTTGAATTTAGTTCGTCCGTGAGAATAAAAGGGTATGGGAGGTGTAGGAGCGCCTAGAATTTCGGCCGAGCATCCTAAGGCAGTGGTGTTGGGGATGTTTCTTCTGATTCGGACGGCCGTGTATCCGCACGGGGTGAGGCGTTCGTTACGGAACGTGTAGTTGGGAAGGGAGAAGGTAGATTTCGGTTTGACAATGTTTCCTGTATACAGAGTGATCAGTATGACTTGAGCCCGGAGGGTTTCTTGGGGTGTAAGACGGCCGCGTGCATTCGGTGAGGAATGGCTTTGCAAGCGAGAGGAGGGAGCCACGCTGCTGGAGGATATCCTCTGCGCCTTTGAATATCTCTATGCTGCTTTTAATGGTTTGAAGGATTTTCGGTAAGTTGGATCATCTTAAAAAATAAATAGTTCTTTGAAGTCATTTAATGATGGTGATGATGATTGGGTGGTATGTTTTGATTCTGCTCTTGTAGATTTAAAGCGGAAACAGGTTTGTGATGGGGTTCTGAGATGTTTGAAAGATGGAAGTTGTATTAAATTGGGGGGGGGGAGTGGTTGTGGTATTGGTGATCTGTTGTCTTACTTCGCGTGCATGGGAGATGTAATGCCATGTGGGGTCGTAAGCGGGGTGATTTCCTGCACAGTTAAGGCACTAATAGGTGGCTTGTGAGAGGGGGCATGATTCAGTTGGATGAGGACTAGCACATAGAGAGCGAAGTGTCTGGCGTCGGCAGTGAGTCGTAGTGGGAAATATTTTAAAGCCGTTTTGGCATTGGGGGATGCGGTGTGTTTTTGGTAGTTGAGTGTCCGATGTATTTTAGTTTTTGTCTGATTTCTGTGATGTCTTTCCTGGGACGTAATAGGGTCCGAGGTGAATGAATTGCCCATTGTCCCGTCGCTGCATCTCAGTCCTGTGGTATACTGTGAGTTATGGTTGGGCCATGTGTGATCTGATGATGCCTAATTGTTTCGTTGCAGCTGTGGGAGCTGATGGAGCTGGTGACGTACTCCGTCTACGCGGAGGAGGAGCTGAGTGAGTAGAGCGAGCGCGATCGTCGGCACCGCGTTAACACTTTTAACAATAGCAAGCACCGAATTGTAGTGCCCTTTTCTGCCTTTTTGGTTATTATTTTCCCTTTCCCCCCTCCTCGCAACAATCTCTACGAATCTGGCAACGTGAAGGCAATGTCGTCAGTTGTCTTTCTGTGACGCGCAGGCTTCAGCGTGAGGTTGTGATAAAAATCTAAAGGGGAAGGAAGATGGTCCCAGTGAAGATTTCTGATATTTTTTATTCATTCTTACAAACTTGTTCGCTCACGAGAAATCTCATCCTATTTCTTTCGAGGACGGACCTATCTCGACGTGATTTCGAGTGTACCCCTCTTGCATGAAAGGTACGTTCAAGAGAACGAGCGACGATGGGAACGAGTATTTACCACGAGTGCAGTTATGAGTGCTTTATCCACGTGCTGCGTTCAATGTTTTCGTTTCCATTAGAGAATAATTTTAATTTTGTGAAATTCAAGCATACCTTTAACACGAGATGGTAGATAGGTATCTAATGACGTCATATTGATTTTGAACAAGATCTATTTTAGTAGACCTTGCTGTGTATATTTATGTAGTGACATAGAGAATAATTGTCTTTGATAATTACGTTTAAAAATGGAAAATATTTAATATATTCTGGTTGAAATATTAGAAAAAGCTGACAAAGCCATGAAAACATCGTCCGGAAAGTAAGGGTATGTATGAGAGAACATCACATGTTAATGTTGCAAAGAAGAAAGACGATTTAGTTCTGACTCTGACGTTTTGCTGGGGTACTTTAAAGAGCGGGTAAATACAACTGAATTGTTTATATTTGTAATATGCGAGTCTCAAACCAACTTGCTTATCCTTCCAGCGGGCGCGCTTTTATTGTCCTCAAAGGTAGTGGAGGTATTTGACTTGGCGAAGACTTCAGTATTCTCGCTTGACAACATTCTAAACGACACGTGGGAATCCGTTCCTTCCCCTTCTCCCTGTCAAACGTTAAGAAAATTTGAAATTGAAATGTTCTGACTGGAGCATTCCGTGCTCTACCGTGCTCACTCATGTATTTTTGTATTCCAAACAGAAACATTAAAAATACATTTGTGTAATTTTTCCAAAAACAAAAGAAAACATCACAATAATTATGCAGTCTTATACAGTGAAATTAGTCTCAATCTTATACAGTGAAATAGCGCCATCCGTTGAAAAAGTTTGGAAAAAATGGAGCAATTTTTAGAAAACAGCGTATGAGTCTGAAAACCCGGAATTTTGAACTCAGTTTACAGAAAAGTAGAGTTTTTGAGAAATTTTATCTGACATTATTTAAAGCACATGAGCTCGTAAATAGATTAATGTGATCAATTTGCCGCAAATATAAATATTAACAACGTAAGAGACAAGTCAAAATAAATTGTTGTAATTAAAAAAAGACGTGGCACGTGAGGGCCTGTCTTCATGGTGAAGTATCTCACGACATTTCGCGCCTTTGTCAGTCTAGCGTCATTAGCGACACGATCGAGAAAGACGCGAAATGCCGTGATGTATTCCTTCACGCGCCACGAAATGAAAACCCAGGTGATGTTGATCACGTGATGTCTTGGATTCGCAGAGCTGCAAAACGAGACCGGGAATCCCAACTCGAGCTACCGCTCCTTGCTAATAGTCGGCGCCACCGTCTCCGCCCTTCTGCTGCTGTCCAACGTCCTGCTTCTGCTGGGCGTGCACAAGGTGGGAAAAGAGGTCCAGGCACCAAAATGATCTAGTTGCAACTCATTGACATAGATTTACGAAACATTCTTTCTAAAAATATTGCATCTTTTATTTCAATTACTCCTTCGTCAAAATGTTTCTCAACACTGTTGCTCTCCACGCGACCTGGCGGCCAGCATTTGATGTGGCTTTTCACACGAAGTGCCCGTGACGTGTCTGGTGCTAGGCAGAACGAGCAAAAATCGGTGCGTCGGACTAGCTCACCCTTTCTCTTTCTACCATAGAAGGTCCGACTATATCTCACCCTTGCTACAGAAGTGCCACAACTAAAAAATCTTCTACTACAACAAAGTTTGTGTGAAGGTCGAAAATGAAAAATCTTCATTTTTGAGTTGTTACTGACTCAGTTACAGAAACGATACTTGACCAGTCCTCAAAAGTATGGTTCTATAACTTCACAATATAGCCGGGAGCTGTATGGCAGAACAAGCCACAAAGTGACGTTCTTTGGGTTTAACGCTAGAAATAACTAAAATAGCCTTTAATGGTGATGTTTGTTTTTCGTGTGTTTGGAGAGCCTGACGTTTAGAGTTGGCGCAGCGGGGCGAAGTCGCGCTCGTTGCGTTCGCTCTGTGACCCGGAAGCACTGCGCACCCGGGCCGCCCCCCGCTGCAGCGCGGGCTCGCCAGGGCGCAGCCGTCCATTGCACGGGGCCAAATACTGACCAATGCCCTTATAAAATCAGTCAAATACATGTACACTTATAGTAAAATGTGGTGTACTGTAGTCACGAGACCGAGAGCGGCTGGCTGTGGTCCGATTCATTCGTGTGGGGAAGCAGCGCTGCGGGGCGGTGGCCGGCGCTAGGGTGGCTCTCAGGGCAACGATTGCACAACGCTGTTAGTGCGCGATGTGTCGCTAACGTTGGTTTGGCGCGCAGAACCGCGCGTCGCTGCTGCTGCCCTGGCTGTTGGTGTACAGCGTGCTGACCTGCCTGTCCCTGATCGTCATCTGGCTGACCGTCTACGCCATCTTCAAGAACATGGAGTTCCTGGACGCCGTCGGCATGCTGTCGCTGTCGCTCTTCAAAGCCGGTGCGTAGCGCTGCCCGCTCCGCGGCCCCTCCGTACAACCATTGTCATCACTTTCACAATCTCACAAATCGCCCTTTTCCACTTGTATACCAGAAGCATTTGGTGCATGATGAAATCTCAACAATGAGAACGTTGCTTTGCTTTGGCCCTTGCAGCAAATTCTATTAATTCTATTTATTTAAGAATGTCATTAAACAATTATTTTCTTTCTTACACAATTCTCCAAATATAAGCATCACGGGCATTTAACTCCACAGGCCAGTAAAACAGTATTAACACGAAAGAACATAGAATCTATAACCAGCTCCAGCATACAATTTGTTATACCAGCTCATTAGTTGCCATTGCAGCACAGTCGCATTTCATGAGTAAATGACATGAATCACGAAACACAAGTGATCTGTGGATTTTGGCGGTTATTAGGCGAGACAGTTGAAGGTTAACGTCGTTTATTTATACAAATGTAATGATGTCGGCCGTAAATAAGCTGATATCCTTCGCTTCGATATCATACGTTTAGGTTGCTTTTAAAAGTAATTCCTTCTTCCACTAAAAAAGCGGGCATTCGCGCTGTCTTGTAAGGTCCCCTCGGGCAGTGTTGAGAGACGCTAGGAGGGAGGAATTGGGGGCGCAGGGAGACGGCGCCTCTGGTGCAAGAAGAACTTGCACCTCTTGCACGCGCGCCCGGAGGAAACCAGGCATCGGAGGCCGCTCATAGGTGGGGGCCATACGCTTTTTTTAAATTTTAAATATTGGTTAGTCCCGTAAGTGTAGTGCATGTTTTCCACGCGCAGTGGCTGTGGTCTTCCCCTGGTGGCGGTGAGAACAAGCTCTCGGATGAGTGATAGTGTATGAGTAACGGCTGAGGATTCGACAGGGAAAAAGAAAGATCGCACGCGGCCCGGTTTTTAGGATACTGCGCCAGCAAAACTACCGATCAGAACAGCTCGTTGCGTGTATTTTGCAAATGTACATTCCCGCCTGAGATATGGCATAATATTCTGGGGAAACTCATCATGTAGTACTCAGATTGCAAAAGAAAATTATTCCAATAATGAAAAAATGCCATCCGCGTTACCCTCGCAAGCCTCGCTTCATTGAGCTTTGAATCTTACCATTGCGTTGCCTATATATTGACGAATCTGTAATATTTGTCAAAAGTGACTTACTTAACGGTGGGAACATATTTTCATGCAATACTGATATTTATAATTACAACACACGCCGTAAAAATCACGTTCATCAAGTGTCAGTATCCACAGCTCACTATCAGAAATCCATATACAATACAAGTACGTTACTTCACAACGCACTGCCAGATGACATTAAACAATTAAAGTCTGTTCACAAATTTAAATAAAAAGTAACATATTTTCTGCTGCATATCTGTTTCTATACAATTAGAGACTATACTGATTATCAAAAAGAAAAATAATGTTTATTTTAACAAAACAGTGACATATAATGAATTAGTTTACATTGTATTGTATATTTTTTTAATGACTTAATGACTGTAACAAGTAATGTACTTCATCTTCCGGTTTAATGACCCCCATCTCGATCAGGTTTTTGTCCAGATACCCTGATCCATTGAGCAAATGCTGAGATGGCCCTTTGTTTTGCTTCTGGATGTAAATGTAGCTTCACTGTGCGCACTTTTGTTGAACTCTTCTTTTGCTTGTAATGCTAAGAGTAGAGGCAAGGGCGAGATGCTATTTTGTTAGCAATGCAGGAAAATCATACTTGCAATTCTTGTACCGATGCTCAGAAATGAAAATGCCTATTTTTCTAATATTGCTAATTTAGCAAATTTTAAAATTTATTTTTATTTATGTGAACCTTTTCCTCATCTTTCAACTGTTTATAATTAAAATGACGGGAAGGGATTCTGGAACTCAAGAAAACGTGTACATATAATATTTTCCCTCCTACGTCACATACAAATTTTCCTTTTTTACCGAATAAATCGAAATTAAACAGACGGTCGATAGGATTCTCATCCAGACAGCGAATGAATTGTAGCTAGCGTCGAAAATCCTGCCGCCATCGGGACTTGAATCTAGGTCTCCCAGTCAAAGGCACTGCAGTAACATCATTTGATGCTCTGAGACACCTCAATTCAGAATTCAGCATGTATATGAGTTAAGCTAGAGACCCCACAATTTAAGATAACGTGCACAGAATACATTTCTCCCCACGTGACACAGTTTTTACCGGTTTTTGTCGATAAATAAATAGCACACGTGAATACTAAAGTCTTTCTTCCTCGAAATTTCAATTTGTTAAGCAAGTTTCGTTACGTTTAAACAAATTAGAACAGTAGTTTATGTAATAATTTATAATGTTAAGCTTAATTGCAGAAATACACGATTTGAAATTTGGCAACTTTATGAGTGAGTATTCAATTTTGTATCAATGCATTAAAGCAATATTATAAATGAGTTGCATACGCAAATTTTTGTTATGATAAATTTATAAGATACTCAAACCTAATTTTGCTAAACATCTTTCTTGTGGCGTGTCTGGTGTTTGTGACCGTAGCGAGGAAACGGTGGCCAGCTGTTCAGTTTACCGCTTCCCCGCGGTTCTCTCGCTGCGATTGGCTGAATGCGAGTAAAATGCCCTTTTATGAACGCTTCCTTGCAACAGAAGAGGCCGCTTAAAGTGCTCGTTTATAAAAGATAGGTCTACCCTATACGCTTATTATTTGCTTGAAATGCCACAGAAACCTTATCAGGTGAACGTACACTGGTTGTCCGAGGTAAATGTTTTCCACGAAGAGAGTGGTCATCCAGGAATAGCAAAACATCTTTGAAGTTGAATTTCCGTTTCAAAGATAATTTTGTTCGTAATCAACCAAAACAGAAAAAGTCGTGGGCTTATTTTGACATTGCCAGGCGCAGAAGCTCGATCGCCGGGAAGACTTTTATCGCGCGGCTGATAACACGATATCAACCTCCTAATCTCGATGAATTGGAATTATCTGTCTTTCGACCTTGCTCTCGTCAAGATTTCGTGAACGCAAGGACAGCGTTGCCAACATTCACGCTGATTTTACATGGCCCAGGCCCCTCAATAAACTTTGAGAGGGGATGGTGGCCCACTTGGACTCATGAAATGCATATAAGATTGTAAATTACACATTTGGGAAACTGTGAACACTTTGATGATGAATCACTCTCAAAGGTGTGTCAGGGCATCTACTGATGGCACTGCAGTGCCTCTGGCCGGGAGGGCCTAAAGTTCGAAAGCCCGACGGTGACCCGATTTTCGACACTAGGTCGAATTGAGTGGCTGTCTGGAGGAGGGTTCTAGAACCCGGTTGCTCTGATCGGTCGTAGTTCGTCCGATCAACATCAGGCGAATGCCGGAGCAGAGCGTGCGCGATATTCCCTTCCTCGTCCTATTTACATACATCACTCCCTATGTACGCACACGTGCACTTACATGCTCATCGCATTTCGCGAGGCCGGTCGGGAGCGTGTGCCAGCTGGGGCGGTGGCTCACTGGTGGGAGATACCTGGACGGGGAGAAGTCCGCGCCTGTTCGGAAGATTTATTGCGGGCTGCAGCGCGCTGTCGGGCTCATTTCAATCTTCTCTTGAGCTGTTCTCATCGCGCACGCGCCCAAGACGTCAGAGTTTCGTGCTGGCCGCAGGGCTGCCTGACGCTGCTTACAAACATCCGCCGTTAGGTGGCAGTTCATTCGCCCAATAAGAAAAAGGTCAACTTCTCAAACGGAAAATTTGAATTTGCGTTAAAACAATGTATTTGTAGGATTTTTTCAGGTAGTTTGAGTATGAAGTGCTTGATTTGCATTTTTTGTTTGTGAACATTTTAATTAATAATTTATGTAAAAAGTTACACATTTTATCATAATAATTTATATCTTAATATTTAAAAAATTAGTTCTGACTATTCTTATGACTACAGCAGATGAGAGGAATGCTTTACGGAATAAAATAATTTCCCTCTTTCCCATTTCCACTCTCCTTACACTTCGCGCTTAAAAAGGCCACCACACAAATGCTCGCATTTGAAATCTTGTTGCCTATAGCGTAATGGAAATCGGTGGCAATGACACTGTACTTCCAAAAAATGGCTTTCTTAAATATCGTGTTCTAAAATTAACTGCAAGTACTGCCAATGTGATATATTTATATACTAACGACAAAGACGCTATGACTTTTAGAACACACCCTATACTAGAGGTCTAAAAACTTAACATTACTCAGTCTCAAATTAAATTTAACCGCTTTAACAAATGATAATTGAAAAATCATCTTTAATGTAAAAAAATAACTAAAAAACCAAACTCACTGTCAACGTCGTTGGGGTTGTTTTTTGATAATTTGCTCGCAATCTGAAAACCCGCCCGAAACCGCCCATGTTTTCACGCATTTCCGCTCATTAGACGGTATTCCGCGAAGTCGATTTTTGTCCCGCGAGAGAGCAGTTTTCGAGCCCCAAAAGCGGAATTCCACCCAATCGGGCTACACCGATCTGCCGCAGGACGGCCTTCCTGTACAGAGCGATTTTTACAAGAACGGACCGTTGTGACAAGTGCTGGCAACGTAACTGTAGGTTCTGTGGTCTTGAAGTCCTTCGGCCCATTTAACTCTCCTTCGTTCGTTTGCTGTTGGCTAACTTGTAAATGGCTTAGACGCTTCTTTATATGATGTTCTCGTCTGACGAAAATGTAGTTAGCCACGAGAAATAATTGAAATTAGGAAGTATTCTTCTGTGAAAAGGTTTTTTTTTACATTACATTGAATTTACTTTTTGTGTGATTAGTATTATTTTTATTTGAAAACAATCTTGAATGTTAGACGCGTACTGGCGCACGAGTTTCCTGCTCCTGGGCGGAAAAGTGGCGAGCTGTGTTGGAGAACGTTGCGTTTTATCATTTTTTTCGTCTTTTTTTACAGAATTACACGGTTGTGAACCGTGAGAAGCCATGATGTCTTACCGGGAGCCATGTACAAACATGAACACTTTACCGAGAGGCGAAGAGGTTCAAAAGCTGTCGTTCACTTGTCACATTCTTGTGCGCGCCGAGGGTCGCGAGCGCGAGAGCGCGGGGGCGGCTCTGAAATGGATTCGTTCCTGGAGAATGGAGGCTTTCTTGGAAAACATTAAGAAAACATAAACGCCAAATTATTTTTAAGGACTATTCACATAAAATACGTTGGACAGACTCAAGGATGTTTTAGATAAACTTTAGGGCCTAAGGTCTGAACCCAACGCACGGCCCCAAAGGACCTGAGCCCCCGATTAAAAAAAAATTAATAGTAATTTTTTCAAAAAATAAAATTAAAAACCCGTATACAAAGTTATGTATGATTGAACTATATTACGCAAAAAATTGACATAACAGAATTGTCGCTGGTTCAAGCGTTTCAATTTTTACAATCCGATAAAAAATTAAAACTATTTAATTTATTGTTTTTTCAATGTAATTATAAAATCTATATGCACTTACTTATACATAAAGTATTTTTTGTTGTTGATTTTTTTAATAATGTTAAATTGAAACACAAGAAATTCTTTCAAAATATTTTGAAAAGAATACCAAATAGGATTATCTCCCGTATTTCAGAATCGAAATTGGGGGAGGGGAGATCTGTGAAAATAAGAATAGGGTCCCCGCAAATTAACCTTAATCCAAAGGCTCCCAATGCAGTTGAAACGGCCTTTCCGAGCCTCGCCCTCAACTCGGAAACTGAAAATCGGAGCGTCCGTCACTTTCCACGAATCGACAGCGCGCGTGAACGAATCGTGCCACAGCCTAAATGTTTACCACAGACACAACGAGATTGAGAAGTCAATGAGATCGCTGGTAAGGTAGATATTACTCGCGCAACTTTTCTTGAACGATGGATTGAAGAAATGCGGGTAGAGTGGGGGTATTAGTTACGTAATCAGCCAAGATTTTATGAAGAAATGTCAATCCCTGGAGAAGCACTCATGCCTTCGCAACATCCTTAACAATTTGCGTTCTAACTTTCTCAGGTGTTCGAGATATCTTCTGTAATAGATCTTTACCTGCTTCGGTCCTTTCTTTAGATTTTTGGAGAAAATAACGGATAGAAGTTCTAGTCTCAAAAGAAAATTGTTTCTATTTCGCGCCAGTGAAGATGTGTTTGGAATGTTGTCATCTGTGCTTGCTGGGAGCTTTTGCCTTGCATCTATTTATTGTGCTAGAGAGGGGGAAGCAAGGTCATTGTTCGAGAAAAGTTGCGCGATTAATACCTTCTAATAAATAAATAAAGTTGTTGTCCGGTATCAAACATTAAGCTAAATGTCTTTCTATGGTTGATACCGGACATCTTTTATATATTGAAGATTGTGAAGCTGGAAACGGAACTCTAAGAAATAATATGTATTTATCTGTAGTTTAACGAAGTGCCCGCTTGTTGTTTACAGCGCTGGTGCTGTACTGCATACTGGTGGTTCACAGCTTCTACTGTAGCCTCAAAGAGACGGCAGCGGTGGGTCCGCAGGCGCCACCCTACCTGCACGCCCCCGCCTACAGCCTCCCACATTGAGTGCCTCACTCGCGAGTCTTTGCCTAATGTACGACTACAACGTGTAAATGAAATTTCAAATGAACAATTCCTTATTTTGTATATTTAAGAATATATTATTATCTCAATGACGGCTTATTTTTTCCTTGATTTTTCAGCAGAAGATTGTTCATCGTTTCAAAGTTGAGTTCTTTAAGATTACCGTTTTCATAGAAAGCTCGCTTAAACTGCTTAATTTCGCTTGACATATTCTCGGGCATACCCAGTACGCCACACGATCCTTCCTAGGAACAATTTGCTACTCACGAATTAAAAACGGGTCAACAAGCTTTACTCAGCCTGGACAAGCTGATAACAGCTTATCACTGAACACAATCCCGCATTCCAAAAGGAATCAATATATGTACGATAAAAATTCTACAATATGCATTAGCAATGTCGCTAGTCCTATTTGTAGCGGTCTTCTTAAAGGAAAATGTATACTTTAAAAACTATTATTGCAATACCGAGTACTGATCATGGAATTTGGTAATTTAAAGCTAACAATAAAACTATTCCTATATGCCCATGTTTCGAAATGCAGGTGATCCTGAATGAATTACCTATAAGTAACATTAAATATTAAAGTGGATTTACCTATAATAAAGTAATTTATTCTCAGTTCACAAATCGACAGATCCAGTTTCTTCCTGTAAATGTTCAACGTGGCTTCCTTTTGCAACGCCGCAGATGTCCCATCTACACAAAGCTTCTCCCCAGATGCACCTCTGATACGTTGGCGCCGCTCATCGATAGTTGGAGGAAACGGAGAGATGATCGATCACAAAGTCTTTAACACCCGTCCACAGACAAAAGTCTACGTTGAGGCGCTGCGGTGGCCGAGGTACGCTCCCGCCCAGTGGCGCTTTCTTCGTTCGCGCACGCCGTGTGTCAACGCCCGAGGAAATAAACAAAATCGTTTGGTTTTTAGCGTTTGTATTTTTCCTTTTATTGTGTCTTCCGTGCTATCGGAACCAGGTACCCATGTCCACGCCTTTTGCATGAAGACAAGACACGAGTAAATTGATAATGGGCGACCTCACCTAATAATATTTAACTATGTAATTTTTAAAACGACAACGGAATAAAAGATAAAACGTCGATCACGTATTTTAAATACTTTAAAATATATTATTCTTATCTTTGCAAAAGAAAATACAACACCCTAATTGCTGTTATTTTGCGATTTTCCCTAATTCTTTCAATATTATATTTTAAAATAGATCAGAATTTTGTATTTCTAAATCAGTTTTCATCTCTTTCTTTCTCTCTCTTTTTTTTGACTTCATAGGCTAAACGGTTACCAAGGACGCACAAAACATGGATTCCGGCCACACCCGATTTTCTTTCAAAATGATATTCCCAGATCGACCTGAACAACCCTTGGACTTTAGGAGTTTCAACCGAATATTTTGATTTTGATAGTACTTTACATTAAGCCTGGAAAACATTTTCAAAATTTTGTCAAACCTTAAGACAATGGTGCAGATCTCATGTTAGTTAAAATCTTATTTTTCCAAAATGGCAATTTTTTTTTCGTCTTTCAAAATTGCAGGAGTGTAATTTTGGGGAGGGGCGTCTTCATGCAACTATAATATTACAGACAGAGATTTTTTCCTTCACGAAGACAGTTCTTTAGAGACATCTTAAAATAAGGTCATGTTTAATTTTTCGAGATTATTAGTAGTTTTCGTGTAATTTTGCTCGTTTATTTTAGGAAATTATATTTCAGTAAATAATTCTTTCTCAAAAACCACTCCATTTTTTTCTGTAAATTTCTCCTTATACGCATCAAGTGACGGTAAAATTTATTGTGCAAGTCCCATTTTCGGTGAATTCTCCGTATTTTCGACAATTGCAAAAAGTTAACATTTCAAAAACACACAATTGAAAACAGCGATTTTGGCCTTAAACGAAGTGTGTTCTAAAAGTAATATCTTTAAAAAAGATCATGTAGTACAATTATTTGAAAAAGTGAGATTTCCTGTAACTTGTCTGAAATTTATGCAATGTCTAAAAAATTTTTTTCTCAAAAACTGCACCAAATTGTTCTTCATTAAATTTTCTCCTCGGATGTAACAGCGGACGGAAAAACAATATGGTGCTAGCCCTAGTTCTGTTTTCTGCAAACTCTCCGTATTTTCTACAAAAAAAGGGCGTTTGAAAATGTTGTGTTGAGACAGTTAATTCCTTTCTTAAGCGTCGGCCTCAGTTGGGTCGCCCGGCGCGGCGCTTCCGTGGCGAAGTGGCTAGCCAGGCCAGGGGGCCAGGCCAAGGCCGTGGCGAGGGCCTCCGCGCCAGCGCAGTTCGCGTTGCGATCCAACTGGTTGTCTCGTGGCTCTAATATGCGAGAACTGCTTCAAACGTTGTACATGTAAGGACGTATCGAGCCGTAAAATAATTTTNNNNTATATATATATATATATATATATATATATATATATATATATATATATATATATATATATATATTGCTATTCTTTTAGGCAAAAGATGCTATTTGTATTTGGAGAACCGGTTTACATATAATCAGTTTGTTCTGTATGGTAAAAATATAATTAAATCGCCTGCCGTTAACAGGTTCTGTTCATTGTTCATTGTTCTTAAAATTATGTAATGTAAATTGTTGTGTGAATTGTAAAACGATGTCTTTACGACTTGTGAATTCAAAATGCCAAAATGATGTGTGGCACTCTGCCTTCATTTTTTGCATCAAGTAAAAACTATTATCGTCGTGCCTTTAAATTTCCGAATGAGAGAAAGCCTCAATAAATAAATTTAAAAAACACATGAAGCAGTCTCCAGCGCAGTAGAGTCAACGCATAAAATATTTTAATAACTTTTCAAAACAGTGTGGGGAGAAAATAATGTTGTTAAATTAAAATATATATAGTACATCTCTATTCCTTGATTTTATTTTATTTTTCCTTTTTTAATAAACTCAGTCTTATTTTTAAAGTCTACAAAAGCAGTTTAAAAGTAATATTTTTTGCAATACAAGATTTATCTAATGACTGGCAGTTTACAATTAATTATTGTTTCGTCATTTAGGACGTTGCGCATAGAAAAGAACGAGGAAAGCATTGAAAATTTGTGACCGGAGTAGGACCCTGCCCTGGGTTTGCGGTGTTGCTAAATCGAACCTAAGAGAGTTTGTGTCTCCATAACGGTAGCACTGTCGATCCCCGCCGCACGCACAGATGCACTTAAACTGCGCTTGCGCAGAAGATCGATTGTGAGTTAAGTTGGCGCTTATAAAAACTGGAGAAAGGTTGCGTATAGCAAACGGTTTCATGCTGTCTGGAGATCAACAGCGGTGACCATTGTGAATTGATGGCAAGCAACTCCCCCCAAAAATTCTGGAAATTGTATTTATATCATGAGATCTTTTTTTAAACATCGATGTTTCGGAATAAATAGATCAATATTTCTGGTCGAAAATATCGATTTTTTTTGCTTTTTGCCATCCCTGGTAGTGCAAGGGTCGCGGCATGTTAAATTTGAGGACTTGAGTCCGCGCCTCAGAGCGGGATGAACATTTTGCAGGTTTATGTTGCATTATTCAGCGGAGCAGTTCAAAACAATGCGAGAAAATACGTGTTTTTGAAGCGCCACTATTTTCTTTAAACGTTTTGCATGGATAGTGCTAAATGAGGGTTACCAGACGTCCTGATTTTTGATGTGTCATCTATTTATTTTTTATTCCAATTTTAATATTTCTAACATAAATATTCAAAACATAAAACTGCAACTGCTTTAAAGTAAAATAATATTAGAAGTGAAACATGTTTCTAACTATAAGAACAATAGGTATATAATATCTTTATTTAGTACGGGAAATAAAAAAAAAGAGATAGGAAGAATCCTTGATCATAAAGCTGCCACAGTTATAATTTACCGTACAGTGCAGAATTAATATACAAATTATCTCTCTTCTGTAGTAGTATACAAAAACTGTCCCAGTATGTCATTATAAAAAAGTCCTGATTTTCTCAACTAGGTCTCTGAATCACTAAATACACTGAATTACTTGCCTTATATAGGTCATTTTGAAATAGTATTTTTTTTGAGTTTTCAAAAACTCTATTCAGGCAATTTTTAAAAAATATCTCACTTCCTTAGTAATAATGTTAAGGCCATTTTTATATTATATTGCATTTGTGAACACAATTGCTTCTGATTTCTGATGAAGTTTCTCAAAAACAACACATCACCTTCTCTTCTGTTATTTTTCTTAAAGACATATATCAATTCCACTATTTTGAGACAGAAAAATTGAGGAAATGTAGGGGGGAATTTTGTTTTGGTACCAATTAGCTGCTGTTAAAGAGGGTGGGGCCATACCACAAAATTACATATGGGTAATTCCATGCGGTCTCAGCATGACTGCACACCTGAACATCTCAGATTTTTTAAAAACGACAATGACTTTGTTTGATATGTTGCAAAGATTTATTTGCCAAAGTTTCAGCCTTCTACGATAATAATTTTCTTTTTTACAAGCAATAGATTTTGGATGGATAAAAGGCGATTTTAGACACTTAATTTTGTTTTACTCATATTGAGTGAATTTCCATTGCAAAACACACCAAAATGCACTAATTCTAAATGAAAATATATCAAAGAATCGATTGGTGGCTGGAGGAGTTGTGAATTTTTAGTCTCTACTAGTCAAAACAGTTTTTTTTATAAAGTCAATTTTTTATTACACATTTCATGTTGCTCATATTTTTAAAGTTATCAAACAAAAATATAAGTATTTGTGTTTAGATATAATTTCATAATATTAAACATTTTTTGGTGGGAAATGTATCTGAAACAATTTTTCATTGATTTTATTGGGTGCATACAGCTGTAGAGATACCTATTTTATTTTACTCATTTCATAACTCATTTCTTTCGTTAAAATCATGAAAAACTACATATTTCTGAAAAGAAATTGAATGAGAAATCATTGTGTGACATTTTTAAACACATAATTTTATTACATACTAGTTAAATTGGTGAATTTTGGATACTTATTTATTTATTTATTATTATTAAATCAAATACCAGAGAATAATTTTCTTCAGTACTTATGTTTTTACAATGTATAATACAGTCTGAGCGAGGGACAAACTTGTGGAAGTTGAGTGTACCTGGAACTGTAAACGCTTTTTCCCTTGGGTTACAATTGTGATATTCATCAACTTCAGTTTTTCTAAAATTTTCACACTGGATGTTTTTAATGTGATATTTACAAAACTCTAATAATTGGTCAATGTCTGTAATCTGATTATCATACGGTCTGCGCAAACTTTCCTTGGTTGTCTCTTGTTTAACAGTAGCACCCACACCATCGTCCTCAGTTTTATCCTGAGAGGTAACAAAAAATGTCCAAGTAGCATTCATATTATACAACTTTTTATGCTCACATAAGCGCAAGAAGTTATGACAGTTTTTATATTATCCCTAAAATAGTGAATTGTTTCCACATTTAGACATTTTTCTTTTATGTTATTAATAATTTTGTTTTGAAAAATATGAACAATTTGCACATCATGTTTTATGTCATCTGATAAATAACAAAGGCATTGATGTTTTAATTCCCTGTTTCTTTGAATTGTCTGGTCCTAGACTACCTATTTATGTTTATGGGAAGGTTTCCAGAATTCAACTTGTTTATGAGTTAGGGTAGGGATCACCTAATACAAAAGAAAAGAAAAATTGTTTTTAATTCATCTGTCTGTCATATGTACCTCAATTAATTCATAAGAACTCTGGCCAAATTGAATATTCCCTGTTTGTTCTGGCCCTGCGATTTTGAAAAAATTTCTTCTGATAATGGGAATACTTTACAAGTAACTGACATTTTCAAAATTTTCTCAAAAATGGATTCACTCTTTTCCTTTACATTTCTTAAAGAATAGAGTGAAATACACTTAAAAAGATGATACATGACCGATTTTCACTGTTAATTCCAAATTTTTGATAATTGTTAAAGTGAAATTTTTTGGACCCACTTGTACAACAATATTATTGTAGATAGATTTTTTTCTTGCAGTAAAATTTAAATGTCATCACAAACAGACTGTTCAGGAAAACATACTGTTGTCAGAAATTGAAGATAATTTTCTCCTTAATAAATAGTCTAACCTCCACATGAAATTTTGATGTCCTGAAGGAATTTTCATCTTTACAACATAATGAAGTTTTAATAACCCAAAGTTTATATCGCAACTTCTCAAAATGCAGAGAATTTTATTCTTTGTTGGAGAGGAAATTTTATTTATAACTCAAAGGAATTTGGTACTTGAGGAGAACATGACTTAACATGGCAAAGACACATTCCATGACCGTCCTCGGTGCATGCAGGAAGAAACTGGTCAAAATACACCGATCGTCAGCGAGAATGTTGGATAAACTACTGGGGAACCGACTTGACAACCATATATAAAAATAAATGCTGATGGGATAAATAATAGTACCTCTGTTAATAATTAATAGGATATAGTGTCCTTTGCATTATAAGTGGTTCTGATTTTTTTAAATTTGTTTTTGACTCAAATTCTTGATAAGGTGAAGAATTATTATTTCTGGAAGCACTTAAAGATAGAGCTTTTATTGTTTTAGGAATAGTGCCGGAGTATAGAATTTTTTCTTTAGAGGAAAGGTTATTTCAATTTATGTCTCTTCCGATATTGTTAATTTTTTTATATTAATAAATATGTTTGATAGTATTTTATTGATTTTTTTTTTAATAGTATGGCTTTCTACGAACTCTTCTGAAACAGTGGAATCATCAAAACTCATTACATATACTATTATATTCTCTTTTTATTTATAACACTCCTTACATTTTGTTTTAAAACTAAAGTAAGTATTACGACGATACCAATTAAACACTTCTATAAAAATGTTATTAACAATATATAACAGTAATAACATACATGCACATATGTATTATCTAACAAAATAAATAAATTAATAGTTTAAGAAACACCATCATTGCAAACCTGTCAAGTAAGCATTCTTGGTTAATTAGTATCAGCACACAAATGGCCGTACCACAAGATATGATTCAATCTTAAGTCCGTATTCTTCATGTTTTCAGTGTTACTAGCATTCTGGTCACCTGAATACTATTTAAGAACCTTGAAATGTTTATCTACCAAGGTAAAAACCACACAAACAGCAGCAACCAATGCCCACAAGTCTTGCCGCAACAGTTCCAATCACAATTCACAAATGTCTCTTAGTCATGGAGAACTACATCTAAGACTGTTCAACTTCCATATCTACATGATCTTTTTCTTCTTGATTTGCTTTGAGATGTATCATGTGGTTGTATCCCTCAAGACGAGCTCTTGTGATCAAAGGATTCTCATTGGCTAATTGCTTTTGAGCCACTTCAAAATGATGAAGTCTCTCCTGAGCTTCCAAAGACTAATCAGGGCAAGAAAAAAAAAATTACACATTAATGTAACTTTGTTCTTAAGAAGCACAATATTGGAAAATACCTGTTCACCCTGTACATCTGACAAAATTCTCTGTTCTATTGTCTGAATAATATTTCCATCTATCTAACAGCTGGGGGAGGGGTAGATCAATGTTGCTATTTACTCACGCTTCAGACACATGGTCATGGGATCATTCTTGCATCAGACAAGGATTTAGACATGGACGTCCTACTTATTGTATTCATAGTAGAATAACAAATAGTAATAATGACACTTGTTTATTTCATAGTGCTTTACCATACACCCTTACACTAATCCCACCAAAGGAACAAAACAATTTTGCACAAGTGCAAAGCAGATGAAAAGTACAGCAAGATGTGTTTTTAAAAGTAAAATGCAAATGCATTTTAAAAGGAAGAGGCATAACCAAACAAGTAATAGTGCTCTTCAATTTTCAGTACAAGCATGCTGAGATATTTCATTTTTTTAAAATAATTATCCGCAACTCTGCAGTGACATCACAAATTAAAGCCTCTGATTGGATAACGGAACCACCCTCTCCCCGGTTAGCCGCTAGACAGAAATGTCATTCAGACAACAGTGTTCTAGTCACCATTTATTTCTGAAGAGGGAGGGAGAGATAGAGATTCCACAAATAATTTTAAAATGATAAGGAACATGTTGCAAATAGAATGTTAAAATATGTAACATGCAATTTTTTCTCATATGTACCATAGGTATAGATTGTTTCTATCAATTGTGTTTAAAAAAAATTTCAATTATAGTAGTATGTGGAGTATTATAGTACTCGTGAAGAAACAAATAAGTAATTAGGCTATGTACAAATCCAAGAACATGGAATGAATACCAGGTACATATTGTACAATACATTAGAGAACTACACTTCAATTCTCTGGATTACACAATCACTCTTGGTTCCCTTTACGTCTATAACAATATTTGAAAATACCTTTTTCATAAGAATATTAAAATCAATACCATTTTCTTCTCTTTCTTGTAATAAGGTATTGGCTTCCTCAACTTTTGCAATAGTAGCTTTCACACTCTTCAAATCATTTATCCAATTGGGTACCTGTAATTAAAATGACATTTTACATTTACTGAAAATTAAATTTACATTTATGAAAAATGAAGTAACAAAAGAAAAATTAATTGTCAGGTAAAAAAAACCTATAATAACCCAAAGGGAGATCAGATCCCCAAACACTGAATGTTAATGGAAATCACAATTTTGGGGAATGCTGATTCGATGGATTACTGGATTACATGGGGACAATTTGTTCAGAATTCAAAATAACAGTCTGTCTTTTATTAATCACACGTTTCTAGTCAATGGACCGTGGTGCAATGTTGATCACTAAGAGAAAGAGAAGAATGAAAACAACCACCCAAATGACTGGGTGCATTTGACACACATATACAAAAACTCAATGTAATCATGATAAAGACAGATTTCCTGAATTTTTCAAGCATGCTGAAGGGAAATGGGCCATTTTCTATGAAAGTAAATGGGAAGAATGAAAAGTTGTTTTTTTTGGCAAGCTGTACAATGGTGGCAATGTTCTCACAATAATGTCCCCTACATAAATACACTTGGTGAATATACTGAATTTAATGTACTGAATCATACAGGAAAGCTATATTCAAAATTAGTAGTTCCTAAGCTATACGATGGACCTGTAGCAAAAAGTGTTGAAAACCAGAGAGACTTGATTGAACTTTAGCCATTAATAGATCCAGTTTTTAATGACTTTACAAAAATCTGTCTACAACACACTATTCCAGATTTGGAGGAAACTTATCATGATAAACGATACCAGTTGATTTTCTATCAAAACTATTCTGAAGGACAGAATGTTTCCATTAATTTGTTTGCAATTGAATCTGCTTGGAGGGTAATGGTTACATATAAATTGTAATGGTACAATTAGAGACAACTGGCCATCAAAAGGAAATTAATTTTTACTTTCACGTTGATATTAAATGTTCCGAATAATATATACACTAAATAATTCTAAAAGATAAATAATCTGCCTCTAACAGATACTGTACTTCAGCTTCCAGGTCAAACACTTCCATCTAATTTCTTTTTAAGCCTGACTTCCATGATCCAAAGAGCAAACTGAAATGGCCTCCTTAATTTGCTTTTGTAGTGTACAATTACCTACACTGCACATGTTTTGTTGAAATCTCTTTTTGCTAATTGCGATAGGAGTAAGGGAAAGGGAGTGTTATTTTGTCAGTAATACTATATGTTTTCTTGGAAGCACAAATTACTCCTTTTCAAATGTTGCCAACCACACTTTTTGATAATTTTATTCACAGTCAACTGTGTATTTAGTGGTGGGACAGGGATTCTGGAGATAAAGAAAACACACAGATTATACTTTTCTCCCATATGTCACAAGCAGTGTTTACTGTGTTTTTAAGGTATATAATAATCATTTTCACTCTTAGACCCTTCCAATTATTGAATAAAAATGGTGCATACCCTTCTTCCCTCACAAGCAGACTTTTCCGCAAGGTAACAGTTAAGTTGATCTTGAATCGCATCAGGGCGATATTCTCTTGTTACCTGAAAGAAAAAAGTAATCAAACATTTCATTTTAAAGAAAAGGCCTTGAGGTACCATTTACATGGGTGTAGTATTTGTTTGAAGTTAATATTTTAAGCAAATAAAGAATGAATTACAAATTCAGTAAATTCAATTTAACTTTCAGTTCAACACTACGCCTTTTAAGTGTGCTAAGACTTTTGTTTTCATTTGCAATATACATAATACAAAAGTGAATACTAAAACCTCTAGTGCATTAATTGCAATTCAATTCACACCAAACATAAAAATTATTAACTCATAAAATCTCACAAGCTCCTTCAGTTTCTTCTTTTGTATTTTCTCTTCCAGTGCTACAAGTGTTTTGGGGACTTTTCTTCGCAATGAAACAACTTCGTTCATTAATCTATTACGCTTTTGTATAAGATCATCTGAAAATGGTGAACGATAACTGATTAACACAAGTTCTACTATTCAATCAAGATGAGATTTTATTTCGAACTAACCAGGTGTATTTTCAGATTCCATGTTCATACAAAATACTTTTCACTAAAACACACGATTCACTGCTTGAACTTAAACTGTGAAGAAGCAGATCACAAGAAGCACGGAGCAAGATAATTTTATACACTATGGAAGGAAGCAACAGCTTCTGAACAGTTACACAAGAGGTTATCAACTGGTTCTCACTTTCAGGACCAGTAATTGATTTGCAGTGACGTCCAGTGATCACACTCAAAGAAAGGCGGGAACGGGCGGGAAGCATTTCCAGTGGAAGCATAGAAGAAAGTATATTTGTACTCTATGGGTGGATGCAAAGAGTTTTGGCACTGACCACCACTCAAAGATGTTATAACTACAGTAGTAGTCGACTGTCTTTGCTGCTACCACAAAATCCAACCAAAGAGTATTATAACACGAGCCGGAAAGGGAGAGAAACTTAGTCGTGTAATCGAGAACTTCATTACTAAATTGTACATCCCGATTTGATGAAACGAAGCTCGTCATTGGATGACATTGTTCCCTTTTCCGTAACAGTAAATCAAAAAGTAAAGAGATTAAACAATACACATTGTGCGCTTTCGCGTATTATTATTATTATTATTATTATTATTATTATTATTATTATTATTATTATTATTATTATTATTATTATTATTGTTGTTGTTGTTGTTGTTGTTGTTGTTGTTGTTGTTGTTGTTGTTGTTGTTGTTGTTGTTGTTGTTGTTGTGTGTCGTCGTCGTCGTCGTCGTCGTCGTCGTCGTCGTCGTCGTCGTCGTCGTCGTCGTCGTCGTCGTCGTGGGTGGTGGGTGGTGGTTCCCGCCTGATTGCCGACCAGCATGTGCCCTTGAAGTGTCACTCCGTTTATTGGGAGTATATTTGAATCTTTCCAGAATTCTAGAGGTCGTTGGCCCGAGAGTAATTATTATTATTAGCGAACGTTGTTGGTTTTGTTTCGCTTTATTTATAATGGTCGCATAAACACCATGGTCATGAGCGACCACACTGTTTGTGCAACATATAAACAATAAATGAAATGAATATCTAAGCCAAAGTATCATATCCATTGTTAATTATGTTTTGAATATAGTACTTAGAAAACAACTATCATATATTTTAAAAATAAATACTTTCCATGTGATTGAGTTACTAGGCTTAACTTAAATTGCAATATTTTTTATATTGTTTTTTCCAATAACAAGAGTAGATAAAATAAATTGTTTATTACATAATACCAAGAGGAGATTTCACATGTCATCACGTATTTTCATTACATATATGTTTGTCTTGAAGCTTCATAGTTAATTAGTTTCTCTAGAACAGAAAAGCACAAATTTAGTCAAGAACATGTCAACTTCAATATTATAATAAAAAAATGACATACACCATTTCAGGAGGAAAAAGCTACCGTACATTCAAATATTTCTTAAGTGAAATGTTGAGAAGAAGAAATTAAGTTACCAAACACAATAAGTAAATTTAGATAAAAATAAGCATAACACAAGAAAAAAGTTTATATAAGGTCATACATGTTTATTTCTTTTAAAAACTTCATTACTTTTCTAATTTCAGTATTGTCATTCAGTTAATTTTTAATGTCGTAAGACAAAACATAACTTCTTCTCAGATTATTATACTTCTGGCACTGTGTGAGAATATGTAGTATAGTTGGTAAAATTTTACAATAGTCACATATTTTAGGGTCTTCTTTGGTAAGCAGATGATGCTAAGTTGATTTTGAATGGCCAATTCGTAGACGAGTGAGAATACTTTGTTCTCTTCCATTTTTAAGATGAGGGACTTGGCAAACAAGGATTGAATTCTTTATTTCAAATAACTTGGTTGGAGGTGATCCATTCTTCATTCCAAAATGTTATATTTCTACCGTGGAGCTCTTTTTTCATATTTTCATGGGATACAGTGTTCTTGTGGTGGTAAGTTAATGGCTTCTCTTGCTGCATTATCAACAATTGAATTTCCTTTGATGCCAATATGAGATTGAATCCAAACAATAATTACTTTTTTCTCTTTTTGATTTACGTCATAGTATATATTTACTATTTCTTTGATTCTAGGTTCTCGTCTGTTATGTTTCAAGCATTGAATTACACTTTGGTAGTCTGTGTATATTATAAATTTATTGTTGGGTAAGAATGATATATTCTTTAAAGCTTTCACTATAGCATACACTTCACAGTATAAAATTGAACAAATACAGGTGAGTTTGATATTATTATAAGGATTATCTTGGTGTGTATACATAGATCTTTATAAATTTTTATTTTTGGTGTTATCCAAGGAGATCTTTTAAAAATTAAATTTTGTTTCATTAATGGAAACTATTTGTATTTCTTTGAGAAATTTATTTAGTAGGTGGTAGGCTGGTTTGGGTGATCTTGAATACTTGGAATATTTTTCACGTTCCTGGTAGAAAACACGATCTTATATGTGGGGTTGAGTGGAGATTGTGATATTTTGCATGCATATGTGTAGCAAACGTTCCTTTTTCTGATGTACATTAGTTCTTTGTTAGCTTCTGCAAGAATACTTGAGATTGGACTGGTTCTATAGGCACCAATTGCCAGTCTTAGGCAAGTCGATTGAATCGTATTGAATTTATTTAAAATTGTTGGATTAGCAGATTGATATATTACAGATCCATAATCAAGCTTTGGACCTTACAAGAGCATTGTAGGAAGACAGTATTATATTTTTGTCGGCTCCCCAGTTAGAGGCTGCGATACACTTTATAGTATTCAGTCTGTGAAAACATTCCATTTTTAATTCTTTTATGTGTGGTTTCCATTTTATTTTACTATCAAAAATTTACTACCTAAAATTTTGATTTGATTTGAGATTTTAATTATTTGTGATCCTAATGTCAATTTAAGTTGCTTATTGGGTGTGTCTCTTTTGTTTTGAAGAGTATATATAGGGTCTTTGTTTGGGAAAACTTAAATCCTGATTTATCCGCCCATTCTTGAATATTATTTAGACTATTTTCTAGCCTTTTTTGAGAAGTATTGATGTTTTTTTTCACTTATTAATATTGTAATGTCATTAGCAAAAAAATATATCTTGATTGGACAAGGAATTAGATTTTTAATTTCTTCTATAGCTACAAGGAAGAGAAAAACACAAAGTACAGATCCTTGAGGGAGGCCATTGCTAGTTTTATATCTGTCAGAAAAGACACCATTTAATTTAACTTTAATATATCTATCTTCCATAAAGTTTGCAATAAAGATTATTGTTGTCCATCTATTCCTAATTTGAGTAAGATGTTGATAATTCTGTCTTTCCATAACATGTCATAAGCCTTCTCAATATCCAGACTTTCAGCATTGACATGTTGTTTTGAGATGAATACATCACATATATAGCTGTGAATGTTGGCTAAGTGGTCATTAGTTTAGCGATTTTGCCTGAATCCACTTTGATATAGTGATAGAACTTTTTCCTTCCCAAGGTACCAAATTAATTTTTTGCTGATTGCCTTCTCCATTAATTTGCAAAGGGTAGATGTTTAGCAAATGGGTCTAAAGTTTTTGGTATGGTGTAATCTTTCTCTGGCTTGGGGAGAGGAATAACAATCGATTCTTTCCACTTATCAGGAAACATGTCTTGAGTCAAAAGTTCATTGAATAAATGTGTTACATACTGAATGGCCATTGGAGGGAGATCTTTTAGAAATTTGTTATGGATGCCATCAGGTCCTGGGCTGGAATTCCTAGTACAGGTTAGGATGTTCTTGATTTCATGTACTTGAAGAGGAGCATTTATTATTGTATAATTATAAGTATTTTCTTGAAGTATATTTTTAATTTTAATTTCAGAATTTGCCTTGTGTGTTTGGAATTTAGTGAACGTTTGTTTACTGCATTAAGCGGTAAAAAGAAATATTTTTTATGAAATTACTGACTAACAACCGACATTTGTAAATAAAGAAATAAAAAGGTTATTGAATTGAATCTTTTTAAAACAGTAACGTTTTAAATTATTGCAATTATACGTTTTTCGAAAGTAGATTTAATTCCTTCATTAAAATTAGAATCCATAACTCAATTTGTTCCTTGTGTATTTTACTTGTTAATGAATGCTTAATTTCTTAGTACAACTAATTGCAATTTTTAATGAAAATAAATGTTTTTATTTAAAATTGTAACTAAAATTCTGTTTTTAATTATTTATAAAGCCATGATTTTATTATTGCAAGTGCTCTTTGAATTGTTTATGCACATTTTGTTCTTCAACATAAATTTGTTTTGGATAATTGCATTTTTATTCAAAAGAAAACGAGTTAGTGAACGGGATTCGTATTTTCGCGGTTCCTGGTAGGGGCTATGACTACGTCACCTATTTTTGTTTCAGAATTTACCGCCAACGCTCGAAATCGCGACGTACCGTGACGATTGACATACGTATGCAGTAAGTGTGACGTTTTGAGATAAGAATTCTCGCTTTGCGCCGCTGCGGGTCTCTTCCGGGTCTTTTCCTCCGCAGTGCAGTGGACACACATGATCCTTCGATGGAAAGAGTTGGTGGTTTGGCCATAGTGAGCAATGCTGTGCGGCATCTTGCAGGTGTTGCGGTGAACAAGGGTATGTGTAAATTCATTTTATTGAATTTCAATTTTTTTTATAATTAAAGAAATGAAATATTATCAATTTTTCTATCATATTTTATGTGAATATTAAATATTTATATTTTACTACACGTGTTTATAGTTACGTGTTACAATTCTCGAGTTTTTTTTAAGCGAATGTGTCGTTGCTAGGTAGTTTAGAAAGTAAAAACTGGAAAAGGGTTAGGTTCCGCTAAAGCAATAGAAATGAAGAGTAAATATTTCAAAATGCCATTTCTTCGGAAAAAAAGGGGGGGGGAAGACTGGATGCGTGGCACGTGGCAACGTTTTATCTAATTCTCGAGTTTTGTTCTATATATTACAATGAATGGAGAGGGGTCAGGACTGGACTGTGCAATTGATAGAAGCGGCGATGACTAAACAGTGAAAAAAATATAGCCTTCAAGTATTTAAAATAAATATTGGATAATTAATCAATATATAATTAATTTAAACGATATTAGTTACGAAAAGGTCGGGAAATAAAACCACGAAAGATTATAAAACAATCCCAAATATTGGCGCAAGTAATTAAGAAGTCTGACGTCTGCAACGTATTTTAATTTTTTTAATGCGTTTTATCGAAGGTATCATTTACTTCAAGATTATTAGCGATCACAATATTGTTTATTTTGTAACTTTCGGAAGCAATGGTCAACGGTGAGGGTAGAGGAACTCGCAAACTCTTGTACGAAGACAATGTAGTGTTCGTCGCAAGGTAGAATCTCCGCGTACGCACTTCTCAAATAAATTCGACAACTGAAGTTGCTAAAAGTTTGCACCAGATATTGTCTTGTGACGACCTTTAAAAGTGGCTTTGCGGAAGTAAGCGTCGAGCTTTTTCGAAAATAAAAGGAAAGGTGAAGAAGAGACAAATAAAGGCGAATGGGTTTTTCCTGGATTTTATAATGTGTGCTCTCACAAAATAAGCTACGCTCGCGGAAAATATTTCTGTTCATTGACCGCATTTTAATTCGTTTGTTTTACCCCACCTCAGACTTAAACTTAATCATACGTCCTGATCACAAATTCAATTTGAAGAGGGTTGAGGTAAGACTTACTGAAACAAATGTGGATAAATTATACCTGAAATGTGCTGTGAAACATATTTCGAATTCCGTCCCCGAGTAGCACGGAGGTGCAGCTTTGAGCAACAGAGGGAAAATATATTTCGGGCCATCTTTTCATTAAGTTTTCGCATGGCATACGAGTAACAAATAAAACGTACATACAGAATAAATGTACAATTTCAGAGACAATTAGTAAATATAATGGATTTTATGTCAAAACTTGTACAGCGTTGCCACATGGCCGCCTTTTCTAAAAGGTCATGAAATAATTGCACAATTGTCAAGTAAATCAGATGTATATTACTATTTGCGAAAATAAAATATTTATTACTCCAGGTTACGGGGTCCATTTCAAATTTTTTCCTCTCCTGTGCATCCGTCACGTCCGGTAGGTTCAGAAAGATGGCTTCGCAAACTCTAAAAGTCATGCGATACCCGAGGAAGAATGCTTCGCCTCATCACTGATTGCAATAATTGGGGGCAATCCAATAGTTTACAGCGCAGTAACTTCGTGGAGTTGCATCTTTTATTAAAAGAATGAAAAATGTTTTTGTTTCAGATGATGGCTGTTTCGCGAGATGTCGAAGTCGCCGAGGAGCGGGACTGCGATGTGGACGACGTGTTCGAGGGGTGTGAGCTTCGCTGGTGTCGAGCATCGAGTCTGAAGATATTTTTTTGCTGACGAGGATGTGGCAGATGGTAAGTTTATTTGAAGAAAACGTAATGGGTTGTTTTCACTGCACCTTGACCAGCATTTAAGAAATAGTGTTGATAAGGTTTATTTTGTGGTGAGTTTTTCGTCTAATGGAACGAGCCACGTGGTCATCGCTGGCTCGTTGGTTAGCGCGCTCGCTTTCCACGGCGCAACCCCGGGTTCGATTCCCGGCTGGGCCGAAATAACTCTGCGCTTTCCTTACAATGGCCCAGTTATCTATTGCCGTGTGGCGAGAGAAAACCCACCCGAAGGTTAAGAAGACGAGTAGATCTTCGTGCTGACCGCACGACCCCCTCATCCCATGGGCAGAGGCTGGGCCACCGCTGGTCGGCCAAGGTCCTTAGCGGGCTGTAATTAACCACATGGAAGAATTTCGTTTGTAGAAGTATGGAGGTTTACGTCTCTTGAATCTGATAAGATGGTATGTAAAGTGTTTTGCATGAGTTGTTGAGAAGATATACAGGTTACTTTGATCATCGGAAATAGAAATGAAGACACTTGGACATCGCAGTTATTATTAATGACTCTGTTAAGTAAAAACAATTAAAGTTCATTAAATTAAATTTGTTATCGAGCACGCGTTTGTAAATTTTCTTTGCTGGGAGTAGAAGGTATACCGCTTGAGATGAAGTCTGGTTATCGTGAAATTATTAAAAATGTTCGTATGAGGGAGTGAACAACTCTTTGAGATACGGCCATGAATATTGAAATTTATTCCAGTTGAAAAGCAAATATTGAAATTTCTCGTTGTTCGACAATACCAATTCCTTTCAAGAAGTGCATTGAAAAAACTTCTAATGAAACATTTTACACAATATTAAAGGCTTTGATATTTTAGTTTGAACAGTTTTGAGGAATTTTCATGAAAAATGCAACAATATGAATTTATAAATAGTAACGGCTTGCCTTGGTGCATGTCCCATTGTTTTTGCTTCGAAATAATTGAGACGCAGAATTAGGAGTCGGTCATGCTTAATGTTAGTTGTCGCGAATTTGAATTTGTCGAAATTTTTGTAAAACCGTAGTAAAGTTTAGTTCTTAAAGAAATTTATCGTATAGATTAATATTTCGGAGGGAGATTTTTTTATAATATCAATATTAATAATGAAATTGAATGGAATATTATTAGCACAAGTTCCCTATTATATAAAATATACAAATTTCTTGTATTTCGTAATGTTTATATCAATTATCAAAGTATGGTCTATAATGTAACTTTCTGACTAGTTGCTTACATTACATTAGTTACGATTAATGCAAGTTGTAGTTACTGCTCCATTGTCAATTGACGGTTTATTTCCAAGGGCGGGTGATGTCCCGTACCGAGTGGACGGAGTTCCCGTAATCGGCGTCTCGTCGGGAAGCATTTCGAGAGGTTCGGAATCTTAACTTGAGGTGCTACGGAATGGCACACGCTTTATTGTATTAGTGGTCGCCTTCATTTGGTCTGGGCTAGCTATTCTGACTCGCCACTTACTCTTGCCGGCTGAGATTTAGCGTCGCCAAAGGTCATTTTATTTAAAAAAATATATTTCGTTTTCCGAATAGAATTGAAATATTACTTCAAGAAATTAAAGGAAAGTAAAATGTAGTCATAAAAGGCACTTTTCATAGAAAGATTTGAAGCCGTTTCTAAATGTTTAAGCGTTACTGTAAATGCGAAATTTGAATCGATTTTCATAGAAATTGTTTGAATTTTCGATAAACTTAATTTGAAACCCTTAAATTCACAAGTAGAATAAAAGTACACTAAACGTTTAAAATGTGTTTAAGAAGGGCGTGAGATATTATAAAAATTACATTTGTATAATTTACAAAAGAAGAAAATAATTCAGCAAAATTAGTTTAGTTTTCTTAAACAGTGCAAATAGCATTATCCGTACTAAAAATTTGAAAAAAAAAATATATTTTCGTTGTAATATTTATTTTTAATTTTATTTCATACCCGCTCTGCCCTTCGGCCTTTCGGGGGTTATTTACAAAATACAAATCACATGACGAACATAGTCTCTTCCAGTTACATCAGGGTGCAAGTATCACTTACTTGAGCTTATGTTTGAATGTATGTACAGTTTTTGTTCCCAGTTAATACAAAAATATACATGGAGTAAAAATACTGCACTTGTGAATAACACATGCACACCGTTATTACAATCACACATAATGTTATCTTATTACCAGCAATTAATGGCGGCTTTAAGCGATCTTTCGGAAAGTGATAATATCCTGCATGGTGCATAATCTGTTCGGTCAAGGTTGAAAGTTTTTTCTAGGACAAGCTTAGTCTTAAATGGAAATTTTTTAATAGTTAATTTGTGTAAAATTTAATGCAACTGTTTAATTCTATTGATTTGTGCATTTGGAATAAACCAGGGAGCTTTGGTAACCAGTCTCAGAAATTGGTTTTGGATTACTTTCAATTTATTAATATGCAGCGCCTTCCTGTCATATATTTTAATATGAAATGATCTGTTTAGCAAGAAACTTCCAATTATATCTTCAATGTCCAGATGATGGAATTTGTATTTCAGTCCTGTGTGCCAGACACTGTCAAATGCTTTAGGAACATATAAAAATAGAGCTGCTGTGTACTTTTTCTCATGAAAACCCTTCGCAATTAAATACGTAACTCTTAAAATTTGATGTTCATTCCAGTGATTTGCTTTAAAGCGGAACTTTGCATCCGGTATGGCGTTCGTAGCGTATAAGAATTTATTTAAGCGAGCTAAAATCAGCCTATCAAACGCTTTAGCTAATGAAGGTAGTATGGTAGTTGGCCTGTAGTTGTTTAAAATTGTGGACATTTTTGTTTATTGGAATAATAATTTCTCAAATAGTTTGTGTAATCTACTCTTGAAATTGTATTTAATATTGCCGTTTTGCTGCAATTGTGGATTTTGGTAATTATTTTAAGGCTAAAAGTGCAGACACTAGTTCGATTTTCCGCCACCACATAGCAGCGTCAAAATAAACAAAAATTTCTTTACGAATAACGTGCGGACAAGTGGTCCGATTTCCAATCCGTAAACGACATAGGGTTTGTATTTAATAAAAAAATACGCTACGAAGCCTCTTTGAAAAAAATATTGAAAAATTAGTTTTGGAATTTGTTTTAAAAATATTTCTGTGACGTGCAATGTGGCGAAATACAATAGCCGCCGCCGCCGGCTCGGAGGGGCGCGGAAGCGTTCTGTAAAAGGTGGAGGAGGAGCGGGCGAGCAGGGGGTTCTCTGGTGGGGTCTCTCCCCTAAACCATATGCAACTTGAATTCTGAATACAGAAAGAAATTAACTTTTTTTATCAAGAATTGTTAACAAAATATTATTTGATGCAATAAAATTTATTTTCAATGGCAAATCAGTTATAAATTTGGGTTCTTATCCTTTTTTCATGTTTTTCGTGAAGGACTATACTTCTGCCGCGACAACATAGAGAACGATAATTTCATTAACTATATATTTTCCTCTAAACTCTAAAAGATGTGCACAGATAATGCAATTACATTTATGGATAATGAAGTTACATGTTCGTGGATTTTGTTAGATTTCCAAACAATGCTGAGAGGAAGTGCTGTGATACTTTTGTTTTCCTCTGGGAAGTAATTATAGTGTACTTCAATACTTTCTCCCTCACATGCTATTGAAATTGCTTTTCATGTTATACATTATAATTAATAAATAATATTAAAGGTTTGTGTACCATAGACATGAGCACCGGAGGGGGGGGGGCTTTGATCATTTTGAGAGGGGCCTTAGAGCCGCCCTGCATAATAAAATATTTTCATTCCATAAAATATATGGACCAACCTGTTTTATGGCACTTTGAACCGGATCTGACGTCTTGGCAAATGTTACACAGCATATGTTGAAATGGCTTTCAAAGCCTCCGGCAACCTGTTACCCAAAATCAATTGTATTTACTTGTATAAATTGAAATTTATCATTTCATCATTTTTGGATGTTTAATTTACCAGTAAAATATTGCACGTGGAAATGAAGTAGTGGTATTAAAACAGCATGTACTTTCTTGTCTTCAGTAACGGTCAAATAATACTATTTATAACATAATTTCTCCCTGAATTCACACATTTCAATCATAATTTGTTTAAAAACTCATTTGAAGTCTGAGAACATTTGGTGCGAAAATTAAATAGTTCCAAGCAATAATTTTTTATTCACAATTTAAATGAAAATGTCATTGAATTAATTGTACAAGGTATGCAGTGTATTCACAAACATATCGAATCAGTTTTTTAGCCTAACAATATTTTCCGTTAGCAGTATTCGAGAAAGTAAAATTAAAAATTAATAAATAATAAGTCATTGCGTTGGCAAACAAAAGAAAATACAAGGAAAATATATAATAGTAATTATTGAACACTATAGTATTGTAATATTCTCTAAATATCTAAAAGTATTAGTTTATATTAATGCGAGCAAAATGCATTCCTCATTATCGCCTTATGAGTGCGACGTTACAAGCAACAATAACGGCTAATTTGTGTAGGATACATATTTTGCCAATTAGAATTGTTGATTGCGAATTGAAAATGAAAATGGGTAGAACAATATATAAACAATATTTTTAAATTCATCAACATTACTCGGTTTTTACTACAAGCATTTGCTTCTCATTCCCACATCTTATTAAGCAAAACTATGTAATCGTTTTCACATTAAACACAAAAAAGACACAATTTGAAATTAAATATAAATATTATAAAATGAAATAAAAATACTAACTTCCGTACCATGTTAGTGGGTAGTACCTCCTTTCATTGTAGGTTCACGAAGGCTGTGAATTGGGACTGTTTGTCGCCAAATTACATAAAAAATACTCATATTTTTTAAAAAATTCAACATGATCTTATTTGAAGATGTTTTGGAAGAACACATTTTATTAAGAAAAAAACTTGCATATTCGTAATTGTAATTGAAGGAAGAG